AAACAATAATTATATTGGAACACAAAAATATACTTCCCCGTCCTATAAAAAAACCAATCTAATACCACATGTGATACTCATTCTAGTATTTCGAATCTAAACATACAAGATGTATCACATCATATGCTAGGTTGATTTTTTATGGGAAGGAGGGAATATGAGATATCACGGTCGTCATCTGTCCATGTACGCAAACGATCATGACTCATGACACGACTCATGATACTGCAGATAATTTATACCATTGTACTAAGGTTGTTTGAAAACAAGATGGTATCAGGGTACAAGTGTACTATAGGTTCTTTGAAGATAAGGAAATCACACTCAAGTCCTTCTGACGACTTACGTGGGAACATTAAATATATTTAAATAATATGAAAATGATGTGGCGATAATGATTTGATATTACCTACATGTTAAGCTCTAAATATACATCAAAATAGTAAATGATATGTCATGTTAACATGATATTTAAAATACTTTAGATAATAATTGCTAGTGGACGATGATGTGGTACACTTGCATGTTGAGTTTTATGAGTTAGTGAGCATCACCTGTATAGATAGTATAAGGAAATCACGCTCAAATCCTTCTGACAAATAATGTGGGACATTAAGTATATTTAAATAATGTGAAAATGATGTAGTGATAATGATTTAACATTGCTTACATATTAAGTTAAAAAAACAACAAAATTGCAAATGATATGTCATATTTGTATCATATTTAAAATACCCTAGATAATAAAGTGGACGATGATGTGACACACTTAAATATGATTTATAATACTCTATATAATAATTGCTAATGGGTGATGATGTGTCACACTTGCATGTTGAGTTTTATGAGTTAATTTAGCATCAACCATGTAGATGTGTAAGCAGTCTAAAATAAAGAAAAATCTTAACTCACTATTAATAACAATTTATTTTTGTGGGGTAGTGCAAGCTATTTACATTAATTTGGTGGGTATGTACATATGAGATTTGTTTCGGTCATACCAAAGCTATATTTATGACGGTACATTTTCATAAAAAAAATCAACTTTTAACATGTATTTGCACATTAAATTTTATATCTTACATTGTAAAATTTATATATTTACAGCTCTTGGTAATGGCACTAAGATAAGGTTTTGGAAGGATAATTGATTGGGTGAAAAAACTGATTGATTTATGATAATTATTTCATAAAAGTCAATTAATTTCTTATAAAATAGTTTTCTAAGAAACTCATATATAATTTCTTCTATAAAAAGTTTTAGCAAAGATCATACTGTTTGTGAGATCGTGAAGCGTGCATATTCTTATTCCATTCCATTATGAGGAAAAGAACACACAATGTCCTGTGCCCGCTCAAGTTAGCCAAAAGGAAAAGCAGATATGTGGCACTAGCAGACTTTGGAGCTAGCCTTTGTGTCAGAAACCGTTTGAAAAATTCATTTTTATCATTAGAAAAATTATTCCCGTGAGCTAACCGACAGTAAGCCGATGTAGTAAATGATATAACTTAAGAGCAACCTAAGAAAAACCGGTTATATATCCCAAATGTTTAATCGCGCGGCTATCCCAATTGGTTTCGTTTTGGGTTCGCCACAATATCCGCACTGATCAGTTTCTACTTTCTAATCTCGTGTGCCTGCAGTTTGGTTCCTTTCTAGCAGTTTCAGGCCAGGCGTCTCGTCAGGCTGCAACACATATCACGAGCATATATGTTCTTTAATTTGCAGTGCTCTTTCTTCACGACTAATAAATGATTGAATTAGATCGATTAGAAGCTTCTCGATTCAAACGGTTATGTTTCTTGCGTGTTTATAGAAGTAAACTAGGTGAAATCCCGCGTTGCAGTTGAGTATGATAATAAGTAAAAATAATGTGTAAAATAGATATACAACATGAGATTACGTAAGTTAACGTGGTTTATGATAATTTAAATTTGAACAGCATGTAGAATGATGATTCAAATATAAAAGTAAGGTGATATGACTGTATGAAAGAAGAAGAGTATTGAGATAGTTTGGACCGTAGATTAATCATCTAAAGAATAAAAATAATTGAGATGATAATATGAATTATTGAGAGAAGAAAATGAGAAAGAAAATTTGGATCATAGATTAATCATTTAAGCACTAAGAGAAAAGAGAAATAACATTAACTAAGTAGTCAGTGAGGATGAACTATACATATACATAGCATATTATAAAAAATAATAAAGATATATATTAAAATATTATGTGAATTATGTGCGATGATGATTTAACATGCTTACATTTTAAAAGCTCTAAAATTAAATAAATTATAAATTTATAGATAATATAGCATGTTTGTATGGTGTTTAACTTTAATGATTGTTAGTAGATTATGATGTGTCATCTTGTTAGTGGATGATGATGTGTCATCTTTGCATGTTAAGCTTTAGCAGTTAGTGGGTTATAACTTTATAGTAAGAGAGGATATCTCTTAGTGGATACCAATTATATGGGAAGATAGTTCTATAACTGACATTGCGCCTACTAGGAAAACTATTTTTCGTGGCGGTCATTTTAGGTTTTCGCTGGCGGTATTTGGAGCCGCCACAAGGCAAAGGCCAGTGAAGATCTAAGATTTTCGCTGGCGGTTGCGATCCGCTTGCGAAAATAGGATTTTTCACAGGCGGGACGCTTAAGAGGACCGCTTACGAAAATAGATTTTCGCTGGCGGACCCTTAAGAGAACCGCTTGTGAAATCTATTTTCGCAGGTGGACTCTTAAGAGGACCGCCAACGAAAATAGATTTTCGCTGGTGGACCCTTAAGAGAACCACTTGCGAAAATCTATTTTCGCAGGCGGATCCTTAAGAGGACCGCCAGTGAAAAGATTTTTTTCCAATAAAAAAAATAGCAATCGACCTCCTGAGCAGCTGCATTTTTTTCAATCCATATTCAAAATCAATTCAAATCGGCATCAGATCCATACTCAAATCCACATCCAGAGAACAATACATCAATTTTCACCACATTTTCAACAAGCATTCAACAAAGCAAACATGAATATCACATCCGCCGCCCACGCATCGAGCCGCCGATAGCGGCGTCATCGTCGCCGCCGCGGTCAGATCCGCCACCGCCGCCCACCTGCCGTCGCCGCCACGGCCGCCGCTGCCACCTCCCCTCTGGGAGAGGGAGAAGGAGGGGAGGGAAGAAGCCGCCAGATACGTGCTCCCGGCCCGCGCGCAGCATCGTCGTCGTTGTCGCCGTGGTCATGGTCGTCGTCGTCATGGTTGCTCTCGTGCTGCCGACCCTGTCGTCAGATCCGCCACCGCCTGCCTGCCGTCACCGCCGCGGTCGCCGTCGCCCCCTCCCCTCCGGCTAGATCTGGGAGAGGAAGAGGGGGGGAGGGGAGGGGGAGGAGCTCGCTGCGCCCCGTAGCAACGAGCCGTCGTCGTGACCGTCGCAGCACCAAGCCATCGTGGGAGGGGGAGGGGGAGGAGAAGGAGCTCGCCACGCCCCCCGTCGCAGTCGACCCCCCCGACGGCTCCTCTCATTGCTGTCGCCGCACCCCCCGACGACCGCCTCCCGTCGCCGTCGCCACCACGCACAGCTGCCGGAGCCGCCGCCGCCACCCGAGAACCCCGCCGTCGCCGCCTGGGAGGAGGGGAGGAGGAGAGGAGGGTGCTGGAATTTGGTGGAAATATTTTTATTCTATGGTGGTAGGTGGATAAGGGTATGGGCGGGCGGTTATTTTTGGTGGTAGGTGGATAAGGGTATGGGCGGGCGGTTATTTTTTTTATGTGCGGATTTTTTTTAAGAACGCCAGCGAAAATCGATTTTGGCTGGCGGTTGCTTAAGTGAGCAGCCAACAAAAATAATTGTATCTTCGCTACCGAACTATTTAACCCAACCGCCAGCGAAAATTATCCATTTTTGCTGGCGGCGCATCTAAGTGACCACCAGACAAAATGAACATATCTTCGCTGGCGGACGGTATAACGTGGCCGCCAGCGAAGATCCATTTTCACTGGCGGTCGGTGCCCCTCACCCCCTCGTTACGATCTTGCTGGCGGTTTTGGCATTTTTCCACTAGCGAAAATCATAGACCAACACCATAAAAAATCGTTTTTCTAGTAGACCAACACCAGAGATAATCCGTATATTTAAGGTGAAGTGAGGGAGCCCAAGCTATCGCAGCATTCTTCAAAAATGTAGTGCAACAAAAAAAAAAGGTTGTACTTATATCCCTTGCTATAAAATTAGTAATTATAATCTTTTTAACATAGAACTGCAAACCCAACATGCATAGATACGCTAGGGTTCGCTAGCTAGGTGATTCAATAGCTGTACAAGGAGAGGGTTGTTTGTCTATAAATAGAGACCGTGAGAGATGTAGTTAGACCATCCAAGTACCTAGCAAGCAAAAGTCGACAAGTTTTGTAACTGACAAAACGCTCATCGGCAACATGTCTGTGAGCGAGGTTACCACTGCTACCACCGGCCAAGCTTTTGCACCATCCGTGTGGGGCGACTTCTTCATCACCTACACCCCTTCCGATTCACAGGCATGAAGATTAAACACAACATGAGTACACATATATACAATTATATTATTACTCTACTTATTTCCTTATATACATAATACATAGGCTTATAATTAGTAATTTGACAACATATTACTCCCTCCATCTCAAATTAAATATCATTTTAACTTTTTACTTGCAATGTTTAACCATTTGTTTTATTTAAAAAATTAGTGTAAATATAAAAAAATGATAAATTATAAGTATTTTTATAATAAAACAAATCACAAACAAAATAAATAATAATTTTATAATCTTTTGAATAAGCTAACATGGTCGGTGGAACGTTACAAACCAAAACTTAAAACGACGTACTACTTATTAAGCAAGCAGCTGAGATCATCAGAGGATGATCAGTACTGCACGAGAGAACGAGCGGAACAGCTAAAGGAGCAAGTTCGCCGCAAGCTGTTGGAGGCCACGAGCAGCAGCGGCAGCAGTGTCGCCAACATGGTGATGCTAGTCGACACGCTCGAACGCCTCGGCATAGACAGCCACTTCCGTCGCGAGATCGCGGCGATGTTACGCCGCGTACACCGCCAGGAACAGGACTGCCCTTCCGCCGCCGCCGACGACGGCCTCCACATTACTTCCCTCCGATTCCGTCTACTTCGCCAGCACGGCTTTGGGGTAACTGCAGGTACAATATTAAAGAGTTTACTTCTTCACATATGGGTTAACATATGTTTTAACCAACATACGTATCTCCAGAACACAATATATATATGTTAACTAGGACATATGGGTTCTTGTACTGATACGAACTATCCGCGCATGAAAAAAAAATAAAAAAGATGTATTCGACAAGTTCAGAGACAATAGAGGCAGTTTCAGAGCGAGCCTAAGCAGTGACACGAGGGGCCTGCTAAGCCTGTACAACGCGGCTCACATGGCCATGCCTGGCGAGGAGGCGCTGGATGACGCGATCGCGTTCGCGAGGCACCACCTAATTCAGTCCGTGGAAGGCAAGCTGAAGTCGTCGATGGCCGAGCAGGTCTCCCGCGCCTTCGACATCCCTCTGCCACGGGCGCCCAAGCAGCTAGAGACGATACGCTACATCGCCGAGTACGAGCACGAACCAGCTTTCGACGGCGTGGCGCTGGAGCTAGCCAAACTGGACTTTGAGCTCGTCAGGTCTCTCCACCTCAGGGAGCTCAAGGCCCTCACCATGTAAGTTTCTCCTCACTTTTTTTTCCCTCTTTGACTCTTTAACTTACCTGCTCCCTATTTATTTAGTCTTTTTTTATTATAAGTCGTTTTGTCTTATTTTACTTGTCAAATTTACTTAAGTTTTATAAATCATATAAAAAATTAACAACATCTACTATACCCTCGGTTCCATTAAAAATGGTATTTGATGTATTTTAATTATATGTTTGTTTTTAAAAAATATTTTTATATTTTTCTATAAATTTAAACTTAAGAAAGTTTGATACTCCATTAAAGAAAAAGTTAAAACGACATATATATAATATGAATAGGAGCCCCACTACGATGCTTTCTACTGGTAATAGAAAATAATCTAAATCGTTGATTTCATTTGATCGAAGGTTTAGATCTATTTATACTACCATCGCGGTACTGGAAATGTGGATGGACATCAATATGTGGATAAAATTGTCATTTACCAGTGACTAATTTTTTTCCTTCTTTTTTACTTTTCGATGGAATATGAGCGATCCCAATGCAATGGATGACCACATATCGATCTAGCCCAAGAAAAAACATAAATGATAAAGTTACCTCTAATCACTGTATTAGTAAATTACTGATATACCCTTAATACTATTGATGGTAATATACTACTAGTAAAAAGTACCGGAGCTTTGCTCTACGAACGGATGTACTCCAGTAGTCACCAATTGGCTATGTCAATCTATTATGACTAATAAGTGCATGTTCAATTGCCAAATTCACCAATTAGTTCAAACCAGCTTTTGGATGAGTTCAAATGTATGTATGCGCAGCTGGTGGAAAGACCTGTACAATAGCGTGAAGCTAAGTTATGCTAGAGACCGTATCGTGGAGAACTACTTCTGGACGTGCGGCATATACCACGAGGAGGAGTACTCTCGCGCACGTATCATGTTCACCAAAGTTTTTGGACTCATGTCTTTGATGGACGATACTTACGACGCCCACGCCACCTTAGAGGAGTGCCACAAGCTCAACAAAGCTATACAGAGGTAATTTGTAATTTTTTTTAAGAACAAAAGATGTACTTATATAAAAGTTAATGATGGTCTAGTTGTTATTTAATCAAAGAGCACTAAATTAGTTTATCCTTGTATGTATGTAGATGGGATAAGAGCGCGGTCTCTATTCTACCCGAATATCTTCATGCCTTCTACATAAAGTTACTGAACAACTTTGAAGAGTTAGAGGATTGCTTGGAGCCAACCGAGAAGTACCGCATGTCTTACGCCAAAACTGGGGTAAAATCCTGGTACACAGAAAATGAAGACACATCATATTCAACGTGCACGTTCGATCATCATATTCATCCACACAATTTAATTTGATTGTTTCTCCTGCACCTACCATAATTTATGTCTTATATATACATGCTACAGTACAAGCAGTTGTCGGAATACTACCTCCGTGAGGCCCAATGGTCGAGCGACAAATACATGCCCAGCTTCGCCGAGCATCTGGACGTGTCTGTCATGTCCTCCGGCTTCCCGGAGCTGGCCCCGGTGGTGCTGTTGGGCGTGCGCGACGGCGACGGCGCGGCGACCGCGGAGGCGTTCGGGTGGGCGGCTGCCGTCCCCGCCCTGGCCCGCGCCAGCGGGGAGCTAGCCCGCTTCCTCAACGACGTCGCCTCCTACAGGACCGGGAGGAGCGGCAGGGACATGGCGAGCACGGTGGAGTGCTACATGGCGGAGCGCGGCGTGGGCGGGGAGGAGGCCGTGGCGGCGGTTGCCGCGATGGCGGAGCGCGCGTGGAGGACGATCAACCGGGAGTGCGTGGAGATGGGTGGTCGGGCTGATCATCTGCTCCCGGCGGCGCGGCTGGTGGTGAACCTGACGAGGATGCTGGAGGTGATCTATCTCGGTGGCAGGGACGGGTACACCTTCGGCGCCGACATCAAAGACCTCGTCACCAACTTCTTCCTCGCAAACCCCTCCCAGCTGTTTGATTAGATATACAGCAAGCATATGCACATACGTACACATATACTTTCTCCGTTTTATAATATAAGACTTTTTAGCATTGTTTACATTTATATAGATGTTAATGTATTTCTAGATTCATTAACATATATGAATATGAACAATGCTAAAAAATTTTATATTATGAAATAGAGTGAGTACTATATACTAGTACGTGGGTAAAATCGTGTAACGTTTGCATGTATGTGTAATAAATTAATATGCATGTGTGTATCTTAATTACAGATAAGATGGAGCAAATCCACCAGTATCTCTACTATACCTTCTATGACTCCCTGTATGTAGTGCACTGTCCATGAATCCGACAGCGTATGAGTCAGCTGAGATTAAAAGAGAGAGAGAGAGAGAGAGAGTAAAGTTTATTGAACCTCACCTATGGTCTAAGTTTCATGAACCACATGAATTTTGGTAAGTGTCACATAATCCTGGGTATTAAGGTCCTAACGCATCACAAAACTATATTATCTACTACACTTTTGAGTTCTAGAATCACGTCTTAAATTCCATTCTTAGACCTAGCAGCAGATGGGCGGACCGGGCCTGAATGAAGAGCGGATAGGAATGTGCACTTTTGTTCATGTGCACATCAACACAATCCGGGATGAATCAAAGGCATGGAAAGGGAAGAGATAGCAGACTATGTTAAAATGGTTAACGGTGTTGTTTTGTGAAACTTTAGGGTCATAATACCTAGGTTTATGTGTCACATGATAAAATACATATGGTTCCATGTAGCTTATACAATAATAAGTGGGATTTAATGAAAGGAAAAGTACGAAGTACCCCCCTGAACTATGGCGCGGTTGTTCGAATTACCCTCTTGAACCCGAAAACCAGACATTACACATCCTAAACTTTTAATACTGGATGAATTACCTCCCTCGACACTGTTTTGAGCGGTTTTGACTTGAGCTTGTACACGTGATGCCAACGTGCCAATCTAATCAAACAAAAAAATCCTAGGCCCACCTGTCATGACTCTCCCTCTCGGGTCTCTCTCTCCTCCCCCCCTGCACGCGCTCGGGCAAGTGACTGTAGAGGCGAAGGCGGACCAGGCGGTCGGCAGCAGAGGCAGAGTTCGCCTGGGTGGCGAGTGTTTGTCACGCCCGGAAATTCACTAGTAATTTCCGAACTTATTTGTGCATAAAATCCTGGTCCAGGAATCAGCCGAGGTACATAAACTGACAATTTAATATACAGATTCATCAAATTAACTAAAACGATAAATACTTACTTATGAGGCACTTAGTCCTCACTAAGAAGAAAACTGCAGCGGAAAATAAAATCTAGCGAAGCTCCGGCTCCACTCCCACAGGCAGCTCAACTGGGGTATAAGCCAAACGTTTTCTCCTTCTGGATCCTTTTTCTTCGACTGAGGTTGATTGATTATTGCAAGGTGAGCATATGACATACTCAGCAAGCCACACAGCAAATATGCAAGTGCACAAGGATACCAAAGGATGGCATAATATAGGCTCATTTGCAAAAGCAGCATTTAGCAAAACATTTAAGAGAAATAAAACAGTGGAGTAGTTAATCAGAAATTTTAATCAACACTGAACAGCACACCCATGCTGCACAGGCCCAACCATCCTGAACAACCATACCCGGCTGTACAGATCTAACTCCAAACCAGGAGCTAAGCAAATTATTACCAGTAAAACATCAATAACTAATTATGAGAGGTGTGAGACTAATCACGAAAAACATTACTCAACTCGCCCATAACCGCGGGCACGGCTATTCGAATAGTTTTACTCTGGCCAGAGGTGTACCACTGTACCCACAAGACACAGCCCCACATCATGTCACCATGTGCCTCAGTACCACCACGGTACCTCGGAAAGGGGCTGTGACAGTACCCCTTGCATAACACAATCCACCGCAGCGCACCATTCCTGGATCATAATCACCCCCTTATAAAACAAGGCATGGACTCCCCAGCGACCCCCGTGGGCTTATCTCCGCCACTTCTCAGTCTGGTGCTCCGCAATGAACCATGCTATACAAAAGGTAAAGCCGTTGCCCACGCTGGCTTGTGGTTGGCACGATTAATGTTTCACAATAGTAGCTCGCGAACCGGTCCTTAATTGTCATGAGCACGACTCTCAAAACCATGTGCTCACAACCCACCATTATCAAGTTTTAGTTGGCAAGTAATTAATTAACCAATCACGATTGACCATCGTGAGCTACCATTAAATATAACCATAAGTGATAGTGAAACATTAGTTATCCCAATTGTGTGCTAATGTTTCTAAGCATGGCTAAGCAATCATATCTAATATCTAGCTGAACCAATATATATAGCTCAACTAGTCAAGTTATAATAACCCAAGGTATCAAGGAATAAAGTAATCAATGCAAACAGGCCATAACAAAGGAATAGATTCACACCACCCAGTGACATTCGAAAATAAATGCACAGTTGAAATAAATAGAGAATTTAAATATAGGATCAACATGCTCAAAGGATTGTGTTTAGGATCTGTGTGACTTGCCTTGCAATAATCGGTCTTCAATTAATCTTCTTGAATACTTCCGGCGCACTCGCGAACCTTCGCAACGACGGAAACGACAAGCTAACACGTAAAACGAAGAAAAAGACTAATAAAAACCAAATAAACAATACATAAAAAGTAAACAAACATGTAGATCATGATTTTAGATGAATTATGAGACTTGAACGGCCTCATTCTGACTTCAAATGAATTTATTATGAATTTTACAAGATTAAATATAATTAAAGCCCATTTAAAAAGAATTAAATAAATTTAATTCAATTTATGGACAATTTTAATATGTAGATCTTTATTTTATACAACTTTTGCAACTTGAACCACATTAAACTGAGTTACAATGAATTAGTTATGAATTTTTAAAGATTAAATCGGATTAAAACACTTATATGGATTTTAATTGAATTATGACGCAATAATGAATTATTTTTGAAAAGGAAAAGGAGGATTATTGCGTCAGCGGCTAGGGTTTGCGGTGGACCGGGCGCACGGCGGCGGTTCACGGGAACGGACGGCCGAGATCAACCCTATCCAAAACGGACGGCCGAGATCGGACGGTCCACGACCGGCTCGCGACGGACGGTCCCGATGACGTCAGCGATGACGTCACCACCGGCGGCGGCGGCTCGGCGGCTCGGACGGCGCACGCTCACCGGCGAACGGCGGCGCTTCGGCACGAACGGAGGGCACCAACGGGTAGAGGGCGACGCGGCGAACTCACCGGTGACCAAAACCACGGCGGAAGAGCAACGGACGGCGCCGGCGACGAGGAAGAAGCGGCGGCGGAGATCGGGTCGACGGCGGCGACGGTGCTCCGGCGATCTTCGGCGACGGCGAAGGGGCGGACGAGGACGGCGGCGACTTGGCGACCACGATGGCGGCCTCCCCGAGCGACGGCGACGACCGGAACGGCGGCGAAGGACGGCTGGAGCGGCGGCGACGACGGCGGCGCGAGGTCTCACGGCGCTAGAGCGCTTCCGACGGCGAGAGGCGAAGGCGAGGGAGGCAGCGGGTAGAGGAGAGCTCGGGGATCCTTATATAGGGGTTGGAAGGTGGCGGCGAAGGCCCACGGCGACCGGCGACGAGAAGGAAAGATCGGGCTCGGAGAGAGAATAGCCGATCCGATTCGACCTCGAATCAAACACTTTCCAAGCCGATTTAGCCGATGTTTCCAAAGGGGAAAAGGTGGAGGAGATCCCGGAGATCGTTTCCCCTCAATCAATTCGGCCGGAGAAGGAAAGGATCGACCGAATTTGGAAGGAGACGGCGGCGGCTTGCGCTAGGGTTTCGGGCGGCGGCGGCGGCGCGAGGAGGAAGACAGGCCTGACAAACGGGCCCCACCTGTCAGCGGCTGAGAGAGAGAGGAGAGCGGCGGCTCGGCGGATTGGGCCGGACTGGGCCGAGGGAAAGAGAGAGAGAGGGTTTTGGGCCGGCTTTCGGCCCAAAGCCAAAAGAAGACTTTTAAAAACCTTTTTCAATTTAAATTATTTCTTAAATGCAATTCCATTTATTAAAAATACTTCCTTAGCTCAAATAAATCCCAGAAAAATCTAGGAATTATAGAATTAAGCAAAGTATTTAACAAAATTTTATCTAGCCCAATTTTATATTGAGATTTAACAAATTAAAATTAGATCTTCTCTTTTAGGCTTTTAAGATCATTTCTAATAATTCCTTTTAAACAACAATTTATAATTTAAGGATTTTTAAACAAGAAAAGCTCTTAACAAATATAATTAGATCATTATTGATCAAATAATTACTGAACTGTTCTTTGTATCATTTAAGAATTGAGCTCCGAAAAATCCGAGAATATTTCAGAGAGTTGACTTAATCATGGAGAATTTAATAAAAATTAAATCCATCCATGCTTTATATTTAGGAAATTTTATTTCCCACATTTAACTTCACTTGTAAATTAAAGATCATTTAATATAAATTCTATTATTAATTTATTAAATAATTTATAAATCCTGAAACAAAAATCAGGATGTGACAGTGTTGAGGCCGAGCTCGCTCAGGCGGCCGGTGCCATAGGCGGAGGCATACCAGGTGGCCGCGATGCAGGCGGAGGCGGGACCTGGCGCACGACACAACTCCGGCGCACGCTCTCTCTCTCTCTCTCGCACGCGCACGAGCTCAGGAGGCCGATTGCGGAGGTGGTGGCGGACTGAGCAGCTGGTGGCGGCGGAGGCATCGATTCCCCTTCACGCGGTTGCCTTCTTGCCCATTCCCCTTCCTCCTCGCCGCGACTGCTGTGCCCCCTAGTGGCAGAGAGCTCGGGTGAAGGTGACAGCAATGGTCGGGCCCTCCCCACTCTCCCCGCCACGGTTTTATCCGTCTAAACCACCGCTGTCGCTACCGCCTTCTCTGTCTGAACCACCATTGTCGCCACCTCCTTCTCCATCCGAACCACCACCACCGCCGCCTTCTTCTTCTCCGCCTGGACTGCCTCCGCTGCCGCCGCACTGCAGGAAAGGGGAGGGAGTTGGAAGAGAAGGAGAGGGGAAAGGGAGGAATGGTGTGTCACCGTGGTGTCCCTCATCGCTGCAAAAGTCTGCCTCCGCACCCGCCGTAGACGTGGCGACCACCGTGCGACGCCTCCGCAATGCCCTCCAGCCACCGCACGTCCTCCTCGCCGTGCCCGCCGCGCCCCCAGCGGCAGAGAAAAGAAAAAAAGAGAGAGAGGGGTGAGGTAGGAGTATATGACAAGTGGGCCCATTGTTACTTTATTATTTTTTCTAATTAGATTGCCACGTTGGCGTCACGTGTATGCCATGTAGGATCAAAACAACTATGGATTGTGCCAAGGGGGAAATTTGTCCGGTTTTAATAGTTTAGGGTGTCAAATGTGCGGTTTTATAGTTAGGGGGGTAATTCATATTGTCGTGATAGTTCAATGGGGTAATTCGTACTTAATGAAATTAAAAAAAAACGACTCTAGCCATTTGTAATTTTGCCTTAGTTATCCATATAGCTAAAGACAGCTTCCTCCATCGGATTGTAGAATGGCTGTATATAGCTTATAAACTCTTTATACACTTAAAATTTAAATTTGTTCAAGAATTTAGAAATTAATTTGAGATTTAATTTATTTTATTGAAGATTGTAAAGATATATTTCAATCTGTCGTCGGATGGCCAGTGAAACCGACACAGATCAGCCGAAAGAACCGTCGATATTGCTTTAGCAATTCCGTTCGATTAGCCATATAACTTTCGATAGTGTTTTGTTAAAAAACATTCAAATCTAACTATACTATAATTTACTATAATTTTACTGTAACTACTATGTAAAAGGAGCATGTACCTAAATACATACTTGATCACGGGAACATATTTTATGCACACAAGCTTCCCGTGTACACTCCGTGCACACCAACTAAAAAATGTCACATAAAATTCTACGAAAAATTTGAACATTTACTCCTAATTAGTGGTATTACACATATATGCAAAGTATCGTATTCAAATTCATTATATTTTAGCCGTAATAAAAAGAAGTGAAAAATCCGATAGTTTTAAGTGTAAAAATCTGTCAGAATTTTTTCTTCTAGTTACGGCTAAATTATAATGAATTTGAAGATAAGATTTCACACGTAGATGTAATACTATTAAAAGTATGTGTAACTTTTTTATAGAATTTTCTGTGATATTTGCTAGTTGGTGTGTATGGATCGGAGTGTGCACGAGAAGCTTGTGTACGATATGTTCCCCTTGATCACAACATCACTTCTTCTTGGTTGGTTCCCCATTCTTCCGCGTGCCTTCAATTTTTTACTATTTGTTTGCACAAATCTTGATGTTGATCTGACGAAATACAAATCACAAATCGACAGTTCCCAAGCAAAAAAAAATGTCGACATTTTTTAGCAAATCCATTTGAGAATCGTTAATGTAAAAGTGGTATTCTTTTTACCATTTTAGCTATATATAAATATTGATGTCATTTAAATTTATTTTAGTACCGAATGTAATCACCACTAAATAATTAAATTGACAAATATAAAAGTTTATAGCTGAGCTATAATCGTTTTGTCCACGATGCTTTGTTGTGATATTTGACAAAGGGAGTCTTTGACTTGATAGTTAGAGACCATCCGAAATGTTCGACGAAGCCCAAAATACTTGGCGAAGACTGAACATAGGCGAATTGACATGATCAACAAAGTCCAAAATGTTTGGCGAAGACCGACCATTGGCATAGGCTGACATATATAATTGGAAAAGCCCGAAATATTTGTCAAAGAACGGGCATGGGCGAAGGCCGACATGATCAGTGAATTCTGAAATGTTCGGCGAAGCCCAACATGTTAGGCAGAAGAGCAAACATCGGCGAAGCCCGACAACTTGGGCGAAGACCAAACATTGGCAAAGGCCGACATAATCAGTGAATCCCGAAATGTTGAAAGCAAAGATGGTAAAGGTGATGCCATTGCTGTTGATGCTAACGCCCTTGGCAAGCCCCTGCTTGAGCCCGAGCCATGCCGACTCTTCTAGCACCGCTGAGAATTGAGCCATGGTGATCTACTCCACCACAATTGAGTACACCGTATGCACAAACAACACGGCATGCTCGGTGATGGCACTGGTGTGGGTGTACTGCTACCTGAACCGACGAGCAAAGCCAACAATGATGCAGCCGTACATGAACGCCGGGATGATGAGAAGCACCACCGACGACAGCACCATTAGCATGAGCTGCCACGTCAACCTGAACATGGGCGAAGGCCGACATGATTGGCAAAGTCTAAAATGTTCGGCGAAGCACGGCAAGTTCTGCAAAGACCAAACATTGGTGAAGGCCGAGATGTTCGGCGAAGAGCGAACATGAGTGAAGGCCAACATGATTGGCGAAGCCTAATTTGTTCGGCGAAGCCCGATAAGTTGAGCAATGACCAAACATTCGCAATGGCCGACATGATCGACAAAACCCGAAATGTGCAGCAAAGAGCGGACATAGGTGAAGACCGAATATGGGTGAAGTGACATGATCGGCGAAACCCGAAATATTCGGCTAAGACCAAACATAAGTGAAGCGACATGCATGATTGGCGAAGAGAGAATATTGGCGAAGGAGACATGATCGGTGATGCCCGAAATGTTTAGCTTAGACCAAACATTGACGATGGTCGACATGATCGACGAAGTGAGACATATATTCAAAACTCTCTTCTCCAACATGGAAAAGACCAAGGGAATCTTCACTTAGATAGTTAGATACCATCCTAAATGTTTGGTGAAAACCGAACATGGGTGAAGGCCGACATGACCAATGAAGCCTAAAATGTTCAGCAAAGCCCAATAAGTTGGGTAAAAACCAAACATGGGCAAAGTGACATTATTGGCACCGAATCCCGATATGTTTAGCGAAGGTGACATGCTCGATGATGCCGGAAATGTTCAATTAAGACCAAACATGGGAAAAGATCAACGTGATTAACGAAGTGAGACATGTGTTCGAAACCTTCTTTTTCAACATTGAGAAGACTAAGGAGTCTTTGACTTAGATAGTAGAGACCATCTAAAATGTTCGGCGAAGCCCAACAAGTTGGGGCGAAGACTGAATATTGGCGAAGCCCAACAGGTTAGACAAAGACCAAACATTGGCAAATGCTGACTTGATTAGTGAAGACCAACAAGTTGAGCAATCACCGAACATGGGTGAAGCAACATGATCGGTGAAGCCCAAGATGTTCGACGAAGAGACCATGTGCAAATACGACATGATCGATGAAGATCGAACATGGGCAAAAGCCCGCATGATCAGCGAAGCCCGGCATATTGGACGAAGGCCGAAAATGGGAGAAAGTCAACTTGATCGGTGAAGCTGGATATGTTCGTCAAAACCTAACATGTTAGGCATTGACTGAAAATGGGTGAAGGCCAACATGAAGTGAAAGGCTAAAATGTTTGGTGAAGCCCGACAAGATGAGCAAAGCTCGACAAGTTGGGTAGAACATCAAGACATGGGTAAGATATAACATCTGTAATTTCCATGTTAAGACAATGCCAAGACAAGAGCAGCAAGACTTTACTACGCCAACTACATAGAATCGGATCAACAGTTTAGTCAACGTCACTCGCCTTGAAGATCACCAAAAAGAACCCCCCCCTCCCCCACCTCCCCTACTCCCCAGAGATCAAGGCTGACACCATATAGCATCAACATCGCACCCGTAGACTCTAGGGACATCACTGATGAGGGAGTTGTTGGCGCATAGGCATCCTTATCTCCAAGGGTGTCGGGAAATATGCTATAAACCCTATGGAAAAATACCTTTTCTCAAGGTTGTCGATAATAGGCTTTAAGCCCTACGGAAAATGTCGAAAGAATATACTTGGAGAATATACCCATGGAATATGCTTGTATTTTTTTTTTAAAAAAAAACCTTGCTAGGATTGTGTAACCAAGGGGCAAAAGAGAGATTTCTCCTTATGTCAACCTCTATATAAACATGAGCGAACTCCAAGAATGGGGTCTCTCCTCTCATTCCGCACATGAGCACATTGCTCGAACTCATTGATCCGCGTGGCAACTGGCAAGCACAAGCCCCCATCGGATCACCGGCGCAACGAGAGTCCAATAGGGACTGTGCTTAGGCGGCAGGACGGCGATTTGTCGGTGGCACCTATGGGCAGCATGGCCGCCTCAACACGACCACGAGGCCACGGAGATCGATCGATGGCGTCGATTGAGAGGGAGGGAGAGGAGATTCGGGCGCTGTGCGAGAGGGGATGGAAAATTACGGCGATCTGGCCGGATGGGAGGAGGCGATGTGGAGGCGGTCAGAAACGTTGAATTCCACAGAAATGATGTGGGACGTTGGATTTTTTCGATGATGAATGAGTACCAGCGAAACGATTCAATATCATGTGATTATTTTGGCGTTCCAAACTTGAAACATGCATTCAAAGAAAAGTAGACGGCAATGAGTGAATGACTCTGTATTTAACCAATGTATCTCAATGAATCTTACTATCAGATGGTGTTTATATCTTGTATAATAGTTACAACTGTAACAAATTGAGGTAGTACATTGTATAAGTTCATACTCCTACAAAAGTGAAAGGTCAGACCAGTGTACTTGCTGCTCAGCTGCTGTCGTTCATTGGTTCGTTCTGTACAAAATTATGAACTGAATCACCTACGAGAGGCATCACGTTTAGGATAAGCTATCTTTTACTAAGAAAAATATTTTTTTAAAAAAAATAAACAAGAAGAAAAAGGATCTGTGTTAGTGCAGGAATAAAGACAGCAGATCCCGGGCAATTTCTCATCACTCAGCTCGAGCTCCGGCCATCGCCGCCGAGCAGCTCCAGCGCGGCGTCGACGGCAGCCGAGAAGCTCTCCCGGTGCTTGCTGATGCCCACGCTGCCGGAGAACACGTGGTAGCACTCCAGCTCCGACGTGGTGTCGGCGATGGACTCCAGCAGCCGCTCCATCCCGGCCTCCCGGAGAAGCGATACGTAGTTCGCGCCGCCGCCGCCGCCGCCGCCGCCATCGGCGGAGGAGGACGAGGTCATGAGCCAGATGACCTGCTGCACGATGAACCGCCGCATCCGTGGCACCCTGATCACCGGGTACCTGTGCTCCCGCAGGATGCTCGCCAGCCGCTCCACGTAGGCTCTCTCGTCGATGCCGGCGCCGCGCAGCTCGTCGGCGAACCGATCGCCGTCGATGAACTTGCAGATCTGCGTCGTCAGGCCGACGGACACCTCGAGGATCTTGTCGCTGCCGGTCATGGTGGCCTTCAGTACCTAAACCATCAAACCAATTGTGCATGTCAGCAAAAAAGTCATCACGGTGACACGGTCTCACGACTCAACAAAGCTTCTACAAAAATCCCTTTTTAGAATGGAGAATTGGAGATAGTAATATGAAAAATCTTAATTATTTTCGCAATGTAATTAAGTCAGATTTAAAAACAATGCATCGATATCCAAAACGTAATTGTCTGGGACGCGGTCACGCGGGAGGCGTCAAGTAGAAGCAGAGTGTGATAACTAACATTTTCATCTTGTAAGGATAAGACGCATACCACAGGCATCGCTTTGATCACCGCGGAGAGGCGCGGTCGATGCTTCTCGCCGGCGTACGCGCACAGGTTGCGCAGCACCCTCGCCGCGTTCAGACGACGCGCCCCGCCGTCGCCCTCGAGCGCCGACACGAGGTGGTCGAGCACGTCGTCCCGTTTGAGGATCGCCGCGCAGCTCGCCTCGCTCTCCAGCGCCAGCATCGCCAGCGCCTCGCCGGCCTCGCCGCCGAGCTCTGTCTCGGCATCCACGAATATCGATAGGAGCTGCTTGACCACCCCGCCGGTGCCCACGATCACCTGCTTGCCCTTGTCGTCCATGGCCAGGCCCGACAGGATGTCCGTGGCCAGCTTCTGCAGAGCCCTGTGCTGCTGCCCGTGCTGCAGGACGACGCGCAGGCTGCTCACCGTGAACACGTTCTCGGCGACCCCCCGCCGGAGCATCTTGCCGGTGCTGCCCGTCGTGGACACCAGAATCTTGACGACCTTCAGCGCGAGCTTCACGGCGCGCACCTGCGACTCCGGCGCCAGCGTGTTGCGGAGCAGAGCCGGCGACGCGTGCGTGAACTCGATGATCTTGGCGAGGAGGCCACGCGTGTTGCCGATCTTGCCGCAGTTGTCGTGGTCCCTGGCGAGCCTCTTGAGGATGAGCAGGCCGAGAAGGTTGAACTGCGGGTGGTCGTAGCTCCTCCGCGCCGCCGGCGAGACGTCGTGCGGCGTCGCCGACACGGGCGCGCTCCAGCCGGCGTAGAGCAGGGACATGACGGACTCGATGGCGCCGGGGATGCCCGACACGCGGAGCGCGTTCTGGCGCTTGCCGGCGAGCTTGGACACCACCTGGGCCGCGCACCAGCGCACCTCCTCCTCCTCGGGCCGCTTCCAGTTGAGCATCTCGACGAGCCGCTCGATGGAGCGCGCGCTCGTGCCGACCTTGCGCAGCGTGTCGCGCGCGGAGCCCTTGGCGTCGGCGAACTGCTGCAGGATGCGCACGCCGATGAGCTGCTCGTCTAGGAACTCGGACAGGATGAGCTCCTCGGCGAAGGTGACGAGGTCCATCTTGATGCCGTCGAAGATGCTCCCGTTGATGCAGCGCGAGTAGGCGTCGTAGAAGAAGCGCGTGAGCGAGACGTGGCCATACGCACCGAGCTCGCACTCGCGGCTCACCTGCTCGAGCAGCTTCCGCACGGAGATCTTCCATGTCCAGTACGCCTTCTCGAGCAGGAAGAGGAGCGCCTCGATCAACGCCAACGTGTAGAAGAGCAGCAGCGCCGGCCGCTTGTTGGGCTCGTCGCCGAAATCATGCCGCCATAGCCGCATCACGGAGAGCGCGACGCAGGTGAAGGCGGAGAGCACCTGCAGCCAGTTGAGGAGCCTCCCGATCTTCTTGGAGACGAAGACCCAGCCGGTGTAAGGGAGCAGCGACACGTCGGGTGCGTGCCAGGCGCGCTGCTTCATGAAGGCGACGATCTGTCGCTGGAACTGCGCCGCCCTGTCGCGCGCGTCCTGGCCGCGAGCGCCGCCGGTGACGGTGGCGGCGGCCGGGTCGTCGAGCGCGTGCACGAGGCGGCGGAAGAGCCGTGAGCTGGAGCGCAGCGCGCTGCCGGCGGTGGAGGTGAGCGTGGAGTGGTGCTGCCACTCCAGCTCGTGGCTGCGGCCGAAGACGCGCGCGCCCTCGCCGACGAGGATGACGGTGACGCACCAGAAGTCGGTGATTTTGAGCGCGCTGGCGAAGCCGCCGAGGAGCACCACCGTCGCCCACATGAAGTCGAGCATCCCGAGCCCGCTCGCCGCCTTCTCGAGCACGGCGAGGCGGAGGGAGAACAGCGTGAGCCGCTTCTCCGGCGGCTCGCGCCCGCCGCCGCCCCTGCCCGAGCTCCCGTGTCCGCTCCCGCTTCCCGGCGTGGCCTCCCGCCACGGCTCGAAGAACGACGCCGAGCCACCGCCCCCGTTGCCAAGACCTCCTCCGCCGCCGCCGCCTCCATGGTACTCAGCGATCTCCACCTGGATGCTCGGTGTAGCGTCACGACCTCGTTTCGTCGAGCCGTCGTCATCGTTGGACTCGCCGGCGACCCCCTTCCTGTACTTCATGGCGAACCACCTAGCTGGTGAACCCGACGCGAACAACGAAAAGGCATCGACGACGTGGAAATCTTAGGGTGCGAAGAGAAGACAAGACAACGGGAGATTTGTCGTTGATGATAGAAGCTACTACTACGTACTCCCTCCGTCCAAAAAAAAAAAAAAAGACAAGCCCTAAATTTTCATGCCAACGTTTCACTGTCTATCTTATATAATTTTTTTATAATTAGTACTTTCATTGTTGTTAGATGATAAAACATGATTAATATTTTATGCGTGACTTATCTTTTTAATTTTTTTTATAATTTTTTTAATAAGACGGACAGTCAAACGTTGGACACGGAAATTAGGGTTTGTCTTTTTTTTTTTTTTGCGACGGAGTGAGTACTACTAGTATATTACTATCAGCTAATGGAAGTTAAGGTGTTAAACTAACTGGAACGGTCAACTCAGGGAGGAGAAAATGGCTCATGAGATTGGTGCGTTTCTGGACGTGGAGACGAATGGAAGATAGCGACATGGTTGGAATAACCTGCGCGCTTGGCGCAGAAGAATATCTCGGCATCTCGCGGATTTATGTATCCATGTCGATGGGATCGTGGAAGAACGATGGAATTGCATGGAAGAGGAAATCCAAAAATACAGTAACGACGAAACGGGGTCTTATCTGTTGCGAGGAATCGACTAGTATATGGTCCTCCAACCACAGAAGCAAGCAGGAAAAGAAAAAGAGAGAAGGAAATGAATCCAGAGATGATGGAGCGTACGTGGGCGCGCAAGATGCATACCCATGCCAGGTGCCAGCGCATTGGCGTTGGCGTGCAAGCAAGCAAGCGATTGGTGGTCCAATCACCAACTGCAGTCTAAGACCATCTTCGTCGCCGAGCCAATCTCGCCGAGCCATATCCATCGACAGCACGTTCTTTCGAGCCGAGCCAGACTCATCGATTTTAACAGGGTTCTTTTGATATAAGATACTTTTATTTTTAATAAATAACACCCTTAACTTTTGGACACTACATATTTAGTGGAAATTTAGAAACTACCATTAAATCAAAAAATAGTCGTATGAGATTCGTCCACGTCATCACGACATATTTTCCCTATTTAACCACTCATCTTATTTGAATTTTTTCATAACTATCATTTATTTTGTTCGGTGATTTTCACATGCCTTTGCCTATAGGCGGACCGGCTTCCATCTGAAAAGATCGTTTTCGGCCGTTTGCAACAATGTTTTTTTCTAGTAGTGAAAGGGTTTGGAAATTACAATTTGATGACATAAAAATCATAGTTTGAAAAGGGATCAGAAATTACATGTTGTTAACATAGAAATCACGAAACATTTAAGGATTAATCGTGCTTTGATAATCACGGAACGTTCTGGTAAATTGTTTAGATATGGGTGTAGGAGATAGGCTCGGATCTGAAGATTGTCTCGGGCTGCTGCAGCAAGAGATCAGACACGGGTCACTCGCGCGCGTGGTGTTGCACAGGCGGTCCTGTGCGGCACTGCCGCAGAGAATTTTTTTCCGAGCGGCAGGCCACTCGGCCACATCGCTGTCCCGGCCGGGCACACACACATTGAAGTAGCATTGAACGCCTTGTTTCCCTTGTTAAAAACGAAAAGAAAAAGGGCCTGTTCAGCGCGGCGCCGTGCGGTGGCCGTGCGTACGTCGAGAGGTGGAACGGGACGCGCGGCGACCGAGGAACGGGTCCAGGAAGAAGGGGCGACGGCGACGCGCGCGCTCCCGTCCCGTGGATCGTGGCGTGGAGCTGATCGCGCACGGTCTTCGCGCGCCGATGCCGCCGGTGCGCGCTTCGGTCGGTTCGTACGTGGGCTAACCTCCAATTTTTCTGTGGACCGAACGTAGGTGCAGGTCATGGGCCGAGAAAGAAGATATGGCCGCAGGGCAGCAGGAGTGCGGTCTGCCTGTGGCCGGGTTGGTGGGCCTTGCAAAGTTGAAATCTGATGGACGCAGACTGCGGGCTTGATAGGCTGATCTTTTGGGCACGGAAAACGGAACGATTCATTAGCACGTGATTAATTAAGTATTATCTATTTATTTTTTAAAAAATGGATCAATATTATTTTGTAAACAACTTTCGTATAGAAACTTTTTTTAAAAAATACGCCGTTTAGCAGTTTGTGAAGCGTGCGGACGGAAAACGAGTTGGAGATAGTAGGACTTACATACAGAGCCAAGTGCAGATAATCACATTATATTTGTTTTGTCGAGAAAACGATCAATGTGTAAATATAGTCCTGCACATGCCATATACAGTATATTGTCGTCGTGTCTAAACTTGGACAGGGTCGAGTAAGAGATTGGTGATGAGGCCCTTGAGGCCGGCGCCGGAGGTGTAGCCGTCTTTGCCGCCGAGGTACACCAGTACACCACCTCCATCGTGCTCGTCAGGTTCACCAGCAGACGTGCCGCCGGCGCCACCAGCGAGGGTTCTCTATCTCCATGGACGCACGGTTGACCGTCTTCCACGACCACTCCTACAGCGCCTCCCTGCCACATGGTTCACTCTATCGGTTAGGCCGATCGTGTCGGAGGTCACCGAAATCCCGACATTTCGGTCTGAAATTTTCGAAATTTTGAACAAAATTTAGTTGAATTTGAACATATATGACCAAAATTCATGAAAAAAAATTAAATAATGAAAAAATTCGGCCGAAATAATATCGTATTGGAGGGGACCGAAATTTCTGAAAAAATTTCGTTCCAAAATTTCCAACCCTGCCCCGCCACCGCCGTGCTCCGCGACGTACACACCAGGCTCTCCACGTCCTTCTTGTTCTTCTTCCCCGTCTTGTAGCAGGCGATGTCGTTGAGGAGACGGCCGGCCCACCTGGGCGCCTGCGCGGAGCAGGTCGGGGACGGCGCGCGGACACCCAGCCGAATATGCCTCCACGGTCGCCGCGCCGTCGCGGTGGTTCACGCCCATCCGCACCGCCGGGGCCAGCGCCGGCCCGGCCCGTTGACATGGTAGCCACATTCAGGTGCTCCGCGAAGCTTGGCACGTACTTGTCGCTTAACCACTGAGCTTCATGCAGGTAGTATCTGGACAATTGCTTGTACTGTACATGAACTAGTCAGTAACCCGTGCGAATTTTCACGGTTTGTTTATTTGTTTCTTTAAGAACAGAGCTTAAATTGTATGCATGCTTTTACATTTTAAAATTAGCATTAACATCATTATATATAATCCACTTTCATGATCTTTAATTTGAGCTACTTGCTAGTGTACTCCTAATAATATAATAATGAGTTAATTTCACAATGGACAATCTATTTTGACTAAAGTTTCATAATTTACAGGAGCCAAAATAACTTTTTTCACTTTTTTAGAATTACTTTTTTCACTTAACACCACATATCTCTGGCACTTTGGACTAGGGTTAAGCATAAGGAAGATATCAGCAGTTCAAACCATTATTTTAGAAAATACAATCAAATTGGTTTTTTAACAAATCACACTAAAATAGTAATGTGAACATATTTAGAACCGGCAGAAATTAATCTATACCGAGGGGCACATGAATAAATTAAATATACAACTAGTTCACACTAAAAGGATTAATGAAGAAAACGTACAATGTATTTCATTTTTATAACCCTGTGTAAATTATATGAAGTTCTTTTTTTGATATGCTCAATCCAGTACAAAGTGAAAACTTTGTAAAGACGTGTGGTGTTAAGTGAATACATGGGTTTAACATTAGTCTATTATGAAGCCGTGGTCAAAATATGTGACCCAATGTGAAATTTAGTCTATAATAATTTTGATAATTGATACAGAATGGTATTCATGGATTCGATTCTTAGTTTCAGTTTAGTCTTGAGAAAACAATTGCAAAATTTATAATTATTAATAAATACAAAGTTGTACTTAATTTGGAGCCTCCATTATAGTTTATCTATATTAATGAGGACATCACTCCTTTGGATGCATAGGCTATCCTCAAGTTGTTTTTTTGCAAGGTCACTGGAGCTTGTACCCGATAATTAAATTTACAGGTGAGTTCGTTTCTAAGTACTTTTTTTATGTACTCTTAATGATAGATTGCTACCTAATGATTTAATTATGATTAGTAACTGTGGAGAGAACCATGGAACACTTGGAGAGATACTAGGAGAATGGACAATGTTATCATGGACGTTCAAGATAAGATGGAGGTCCAACTCATATCAAGTTCAAGTCTTCTTCGGGCTCCAGAAGCAGTCCACACACTAAATTTGTCGCCCAGGTTGTATTCAGACTCTAACTTCGACGTTCCACATATGTATGGAAAGCTAACGAGACCACCTTCCAATGGATCTATCCCACGTCAAAATTCCTTCCGAGTCAACAGAAATCTTTGAGAAAAGGAGGCGTTCAGAATTTGTCCGGGTGCTACCTCCCGCCATTGGCCGTTTTACCCGCCGCCTATGGATCCGGTCGTCACGGGTCTGGCGGCGACAGATTGGGCCATCGTGGGCCCGACGGAGGTGGATCTGCCCGCCACCTGCCGCTGGCCGCGTGTCTGATAGGAGGTGTGAGAGTGGAGAGAAAGTAATGCGGAGAGAAGGAGTGAGAGAGATGAGTGGATAAGAATGAAATATTTTGAAGTGTTTAAGAGGGATACGAGGATGTAACTTAGACTTTAGGCGGATCCTTAATAGGCCCGCCTGTGAAAATGTATATTTGTGTGTGGCCCCTTGAAAGGTTCACCTAAAAAATAGGCTTATTTTTGCGTGCGGATTCTTAAAAGGCCCATCTGTGAAAATTGATTTTTGCATGTGGTCCTCTTAACGAGTTGTATGCGAAAATAGAGGTTGATTTTTGCAGACTCGACCAGTTACGATCCGTGAGTGTCTTGTATAGAAAAATTATTTCTGTATAATGAGAGGAAACATTAAGTAGGGAGCATGTGGGCTGAAGAGTCAAGAGGCAAAGAAGTGAAGAGACTTACAGGGTGAGGGCCTTGAGCTCCCTGAGGTGAAGAGACCTGACGAGCTCAAAGTCCAGTTTGGCGAGCTCCAGCGCCACGCCGTCAAAAGCTGGCTCGTGCTCGTACTCGGCGATGTAGCGCACCGTCTCTAGCCGCCTGGGCGCCCGCGGTAGAGGGATGTCAAGGGCACGGGAGACCTGCTCGGCCATCGGCAACCTCAGCTTACCTTGTATGGACCGAAGGTGGTGCCTCGCGAACGCGATCGCGTCGTCCAGCCCCTCCTCGCCAGGCATGGCCATGTGAGCCGCGTTGTACAGGCTTAACAGGCCCCTCGTGTCACTGCTTAGGCTTGCTCTGAAACTGCCCTTGCTATCTATAAACTTGTCGAATACAGCTATTACAGCAGTAAATATTTTGTATTAGTGAAGAACTCATGTATATTACTATAGGATTGCTATATTTCAGGTGCCTGAAAATTTCCGGTCACCTAGTAGTTAAGACTGCACGTTCCGGAGCCGAAAATTGCAGTGGCATGTGCTATATGCAATTTTTCTTTTCTTAACCACAATTTTATATTATATTTTCTTTTAATCCAAGTTTGAATATTTCTACATGTAATTTTATTTTTAATGAATTGCAACATCATGCAAATTGTAACTAAGTATTTCTTCTATAATGGAATAATTTATTGTTCGGCCTTGCATTTATATTAGATTAAAAAAGAGTTCAAAATCAGTTTCAACTGGCTAATTATTAATTTCAGAATTAAATTAATAAAATGCTAAATTGACACTCTGGAATGGGCACTTCTTTATAATTATTAATTTCGAATTTATTTCTTAATTGGAGTGGATTAGATTGAAAGAAGAGTCCATGCATGATATTTCCCAAGTCTCTAACTCTTAATTTTGACTTTTAAAATTACAGTCATGTTTGCGGAAATACTGATAAGCCGTGAAAAAAATGAACGATGCAGCTGAAACGAATTTATAGATAAAACATTTATATTTGTATTTTAATGATTTAAAAACAATTTTGGAAAATAAACTATAATAAAAAATTATCAAAATCAAATATAAAATTAGGTTTCCTATTTTAAATTTTGGCCGCGGTTGCTAAGAGAATATTGCTGCGTTTGTTCCTTTGGGATGGGAACTCATTCCCTCCACACGAAAAACGGAGTGGTCTATTAGCGCGTGATTAATTAAGTATTAACTATTTTTTTTAAAAAAAGGATCAATAATATTTTTTTAAGCAACTTTTATATATAAATTTTTTATGCAAAAACCGCACCGTTTAGCAGTTTGAAAAGCGTACGTATGAAACACGAGGGAGAGGGAGAGGAGTTGGGAACATAGTGAAACGAACACAGCCAGCAAACGATGGAGCTGTTACGGCCCCATATTTATTGATTCTGGATTTCTAGGTTAATATATTTTGCAAAATCTAATTAATCTACATATGTATTAGGACATGATCTAGATTATTTTGTTAACATAGATGCTTCCTCAAAATTCTCAATTACTACATACATACATACATACATATATACATACATACATACATACATACATACATACATACATACATACATACACACACATATGTGTGTATGTATATGTATACATATATGTATGGGATATATCTTGCATCTATATATGTACAGATTTAAAAATCGACCCAGCTATGTACTTAGACGATATACCTTTTCAGATCTGCATATATTTGTTCAGGTGTTTAGCTAGGAACCTTCATATTCCGGAGAGTTGATACTACCTCCGTTTTTTAATATATAACACGGTTAACCTTTTTATAAACGTTTAACTATTCATTTTATTTAAAATTATTGTGCAAATAAAAAAATTAAATCAGGCTTAAAAAACATTTGATGATAAATCAAGTTACAATAAAATAAATGATAATTATATGAATTTTTTTAGATAAGATAAATGATCAAATGAATGGTGTTATATATTAAAAAAAGTGGAGAGTATGTTATTGTACCTGCAGATACCCTGAAGCCGTGCTTGCGAAGTAGACGGAACTGAAGGGAAGTAATGTGGAGGTCATCGTCGTCGTCGGAGCCGGCAGTGCACCCCTGCTGCTCGCGGTGTACGCGGTGTAACATCGCCGCGATCTCGTGACGGAAGTGGTTGTCTATGCCAAGGCGTTCGAGCGTGTCGACTAGCATCACCATGTCTGCCGCACTGCTGCTGCTCTTGGCCTTCAACAGCTTGCTGCGAACTTGCACCTTCAGCCCTTCCGCTCTTCCTCTCGTCCACTCCTCTGACCTCTGTATGCATGAGAATTTCGCGTATACATAAATATAAAAGCTATGTAGCTGAAGTAATTAATATGTTGTCAAACTTCTTTAATCAAGCATATATTTAATTAATCAGCATGCCTTGGAGTTGGGAGGAGTGTAGGTGGCGAAGAAGTCGCCCCACACGGACGGGGCAAAAGTTTGGGCAGCGGCCGTGGCAGAGGCAGTCTCTTGCGGTGTGCCAGTGCCACCGTTAACAGCGAGCATCTCCGTATCGAGAACACTTATTACCTTGCTCCCAGACATGCTGCACCGCTGCACGTTCTGTGTTAGTTACAGGAGTTGCGGATCGACCTGATGTATGGATAATTGAACTACCTCCTGGTCTCTATTTATAGGTACCCACTACCCACCACCACCGCACACATACCCAACCAATTATATATCAAGGAAAAAAGTATAGAGTAAAGTCCATCACCGGTGTACCGCTGTGTCATCCCGATTCTAAAACTCGCAAATCGACCGTTCAGATCTTCAAATTTGTTCGACTGTGTTAATCCGTCCCTAAACTTGGATTTGAATATCATTTGAGTCAAATAGGATGGTATAAAGACTTTATATTTAAAAATAATTCATAACTTTTTCATGTGAATTCTAATGAAGACAAACTTTATATCAAATTTGTAGCCCTCGACGCGATCTACAACTTTGTAGTTGATTTTTTTTATTTTAAGTCATTTTTTGTCCCAAAATGTAATTTTAAAATTAAAATATCAAAATCTATAAACACGCAACAATATTTTGGGACCCTAAACAGTTTTAATTCAAAAACATTTCAACTACAAAGTTGTAGGTCGCATCGAGGGCTACAATTTTGATATAAAGTTTGTCTTCATTAGAGTTCACATGAAAAAGTTATGAATTATTTTTAAATATAAAGTCTTTAGACCATCCTGTTTAGGGATCGGGGTGACACAACTGAACAAGTTCGAAGACCTAAACGAGTGATCTGCAAGTTTAGGGACCGGGATGAAAATCATCGTATCGATCGGTTGTAGATTGATGGAATAGATCAATATTTTTTTAAAAAACCGATCGAACAGATCACGCGGCGATTCCTGTGATGAAAAATCTCGGTTATCGGTACCTCTCATTCCGTTGTATACGCGAAGGCATTTTTTTTATTGTACAAAATCAAATCAACGCAAGTATAATATTTATTTATTTTATGTAAAATCAGAACTGTGAATACTAAACTTTAATTGACCTATTACATATAGATGGATCACTTTTACTCTAAATACTAGCTACGCCACTGCTAAGTTTTTAATTGACCTAATTGACCTATTACATATAGATGGACCATTTTTACTCTAAATCCTAGCTATGCCACTGCTAAGTTCCCACTGAGTCTAAATCCTAGCTACGCCATTGCTAAGTTTTTAATAATTGACCTATTACATATAGATAGACCACTTTTACTCTAAATCCCAGCTACGCCACTGCTAAGTTTTTAATTGACCTATTACATATAGATGGGCCACTTTTACTCTAAATCCTAGCTACGCCACTGCTAAGTTCCCACTGAGTCTAAATCCTAGCTACGCCACTGCTAAGTTCCTTCTTAGCATCCTGTCACACCCTAATCCGGCACCGCCGTACAACGGCACCTGACAAGAGCGTGTCGTAGGAAAAACGGCGCGAACCGCTTCCTACGAAACCGCGATCACAGTACCAGTCCCAGGACATAGTGCTGGTACCCACGGTGACAAATATGAATCATTGCAAATCCTTAAAATAAATAGAGGACTTATTTACCTTAACTTAGGTTGCAGCTCAGGACAGCCTGAGAATACAACCGAAGACACAGACGAGGAAACACCAGCAACAGCAGCAGCAGCGGAACCAACGGTCTAACACCCAATACCACAGGCGACGGCTGGGAACCAGGACGAAACCCTAATCTTCAATTTTCTTCATCTTCAACTTCCGGGCGGAGGAACTATATATATATATATATATATATATATATTTATTTATTTATTTATTTATTTATATAGAGCAAGGGTGAGTACTTTCGTACTCGGCAAGTCACGGGAACTTAGGTGTTTAATGCAAGCTTGGAAGAGAGGCGAGGTTGTTTTGTAAATCTTTTGTTGAAATCCATTTTGAAACCACTAAGTGATTTATTTCTTTTTAGGTTTGGGTCGAAAAGAGACTTGCGTCTCGATTCGACTTAAGAGATGCTTTTCAACAACTCAATTGGTAATGTACCGACCTCCCGGGTCAGATCATTGCTTCTCGGCTCCCAGAGCCATTTCACTTGATTAAGCGGCTCCCAGAGCCTTTTTCATTTTCTCGGACTCCTAGAGTCCAGCTGCCTAGCAGCAAAGCAATCCGCTTCCACTCGGGAAGCCTAGTCTATGATGCCCGCAGACATCCTGAATCACACAGATCCGTTTCTGACCACTCAGGTCATCCATCTGCCACATAGGCTGATTCTAGTTACGATTTCCAAACCACAACAACTTTTCGCAAAGCACAGGCAATCAAATCTACGCAAAGGGAACCACCTCACATCCGCCCATGACCGTGGGCACGGCTGTTCGAACAGTTAGTTAACCTCTGCAGAGGGGTACACTTTACCCTCAAGACATAGACTTACTCCAAACACTGGCCGGTGTCAGAGGTTTGCGACAAAGCCTTTCCCAAGCCGACCCAGGGTTACCTCATACCACATAGAAGGATCAAATCCTCACATAAAAATAGGCCATTTTAGGCATTCACAAATCAACTCCAACCACCTTGATCGGTAAGAGAGCAAGCTTCTCGTCCTTGCCTTACCAGGAACCCGGTTTGTCCTGACCCCGCCCCGGCATTCCCAACTATTGGCATGCGACGTTTCCCTGAACCGACTAGTTACTTAGCCAGGGTGTCCCATTCCACCTTGTGGTTACACTTTGATTATGTTCGATGAGTTTCCCATAGGAATCGGTCCTTATATGTGAATACGGGACAGTGCCACATAGGTACAACCCCCGCATCGCGAGTTTTCACAATTCATTTTATTTTCAAACACACCGACACCATATGTCGGGTTTTCAAGGCTTCACAAACCCATTTCCCAAGTTTTCGACAAACAACGGTGTATGTGGGATATTTGGTATACGCGCTCAGAGAGCACGAATACCGAGGTACCACAAGGGCGGAGCGACAAGGAATCAGGGTAGTACGACCTACAGGAATTAGTGCGACTACTGGGTAGGTCCGTCGGTTTGGCACGCAAACCGAGGCCAAGCAAGTTGAGTGTGTGATTCTAATAATGCAAGTTGCAAACAAAATAATAATGATTTTTCAATTATAGGAGCAATTGGTCAAAGGGTGACTTGCCTTGCTCGAGGTCTTCACGAAGCTTCACGAATCTTCAAGAAAACCCGCGATCGACGAAAATCCGGTAACCGCAACTATACGCAAACAATTAAAAACCTACACAAGACCCAAAATAAAGATCCTATTTAGACTAGATAATAGTACCATTAGATAGATCTCAATTTTACGGAATTATTGAAAGTTGAACGGAGTCAATCGGATGAGCGGTTGAGAAGATATGGATTTCTAAGGATTAAGGAATTTCTATCTAAAGGAAAAAGGATTTAATAATTTATTAAAACCTTTTTGGAAAGAAATTGAAGGAGGGATATGATTTAGACTTCCTCGGGCGGCTTGGGTGCGGCCCAAGAGGAGAGGCACGGCTCGGCCGAACTAATGGGCCGGCTGGCCCGGAGAGGCGTCCCAATGGGGCGCGGGGAGAGTGAGGGAGAGAGAGGGCCGGTGGGCCGAGTCCACCTTGCGGTGTCCCGAGTGGGGCCTGCTTGTCGGTGGCGCGGCTCACCGTGGGAGCGGCGCATGAGGGCGGCGCTAGGGTTTCGGGTGAGCGCGGTTCACGCGCGTGCACCGGATGGACTAGGGATGCGGCGGGCCCACGCGCGGCCGGTTGGCGCACCGTGGACCGCGCGCGGAGGGGGGGAGGGAGGAGGTGGCTGACCGGCTCGGCTTGGTCAAAGCCGAGGTGGCGCCGACGTGGCGCCTACGTGGCAGCCACGCAGGCCGGCAGGAGGAGGAAGAAGGGGAGGCCGAGATGGACTGCGGACGGCGGCCTTGTTCACCGGAGCAAGCACGACGGATTTGGTCTTCGGGGAGCACACCGGAGTGACGAGGGCGTCGAGAAGGAGCGAGCCAACGGCTCGGATTCACCGGAGGGAGTTCGACGGCGGTGGAATTCGACAGCGGCGGCCGGCGGCGAGAGAAAGGGGAAATCACCGAGGGGCGACGAGGACTCAATTAAAGGCGGCGGGAGCATCTCCGGGGCTCAAGGGTTTCGTTTGTGGGATTGGATGGGGTGGGGAGGCGCTGTGGAGGTCCGGCGACGAGAGGCGGCCTCCGGGAGCGGGCGCCGACGGCGGCAAGGCCATGCCGAGCAGCGGCGGAGGTCGGGGCGGCGTGTACGCGCGTTCGAGGGGCTAACCGAGCTATCATGCAAGCTAGAGAGGGCGAGGGAGAACGAGGAAGGAGAACGGAGGGAGGCACTACCGAGCCGGGCGCAGTGATGGGCGGCGGCGGTGCGGGGCGAGCTCTCCGGCCTCGGGCCGGGGAAGGGGAAGGAGAGGGTGCCTGGAGTCCCGCGTCACGCGTCCACGCACGCACCGGTCTCCCTGGTGCTTCGGTGACGGACAGCGAGGGCGACTGCAGGGCGGGGTGGCAACAATGGTGCGGTGGAGGTTGGGCAAGGAAACGAAGAGGAAAGGGAGGGGCTCGGGTTGGGTTTTATGGGTGCGGGAAGTCGGTTTTGGGGGAGGAAACCGACTTAGGGCGGTCAAGGGGAGGAGCCGGCGGTCGCGCCATTAGTCCAGGCGGTGGCAGGCGGTGACGCCGATGGTGGTCGGGCAAAAGGAAAAAGGAGGGGGAGAAAGGGAGCTCTGCTCCTTGCTGTTTCGGGGAAAAGTTGAAGGAGGGAGAGGGAGTGAGAGAGGGGCTGCCTCTCTTAGCTTTGGAAGCTAGCGGCGTGGAGCGGCAGAGCGGCAGTGCACGACGCAGGCGACGCCAGGGCTTGACGCGGCGGCAACCGGGCGGCTGCGTGGCGCAGGCGCGACAGGGCTGACGGCGGCAACGACCGGCCGGTCGGCCACGCGCGAGCGCGGGAAAGAGCGAAGGCGGTGGTGGGTTTTGGGCGGCGACGGCGGGAAGCGGCGTCGGCGCGCGAGAGAGAAAACGAGAGATAGAGGGAGAAACAGAGAGAGCGAGAGAGCTCTCTCTTGGCTCGGCTCGGCACGTGCAACGCACGTGCGAGGCTGAGGGAGGGAGGTGGGCTAAGGGGGAAAACGGCCCACAACACCCGAGGGAGGTAAAATAGACTTTTGCAGAGAAGACTGATTTGGAGTGGATTCGAATTGGGGTTTTGGATTCGAATTCAAATTTGACATTCGAACTCGATGGTTTAGGGAGGAATCAAGGGAGACTCGAGGAGAAGTCAAGGAAGAGATTCAAAACGGAAACTTGGATATTTTTTTTAGTCGGAGCGAATATTCGGCAAGGATTCAAAGGAAGGGATTGACTTTCGGAATTTGATTTCGGAGACTTGAATTTTGGATAGGAAATCTTGAGGTGGAGGATTTTTGATTTCGATGAGAGGGAACAACGGGATTGAATTGAGATCCATGGCACGACTTAGACTCTCACACAAAGAACAAAAATTTTCGCAATTAGGATTTTGCCGAATTAGTTTTTAATGTCTCACGAGAAGCAGAGCGTTACACATCCCACTGAGTCCCCTCAATGCAGAGGCCTAGCTAGCTAGGTGACAATATATACTAGTTAATATAATAAAAATTATATAGTGGACCACCCTTTTAATTGACCTACTATATATAGATGGATCACTTTTACTCTGAATCCTAGCTACGCCACTACTAAGTTCCTTCCTAGCATCCCACTTTTTTCCTTTCAAAAAGTTTTTCCTTTCAAAATGTAAAGTTGAACAAAACTACATTAAGTAGACATAAAGTGGAAAGGTCTAGTACTAGGCATCGCAATACTCAAGGCTGCAATGTGGACTGCAACAATACTATCTTGAACCTCATATGTGGCGGTGTGTACCACCCTGTTTTTCGCGTGGCATTAAAAAGCTAATTTAATGAAAACCCTAATTGCGAAAATTTCATTCTTTGATTGTAGAGTCTAAGTTGTGCCATAAATCTCAATTTCAATCCATCGGTTGATTCCTTCATCGATGCCAACAACCAACTCCACAAAATTCTCGTTCCAGATAATATCGGAAGTTCGAATTTTTCATATTCGGATTTCTCTCCTAAAACCCTATCCACAAACTCCGTCAAATATCTGACTTCAAAATTCGATCCAGCGATTCACCGCCAAATCCTAAACTCCGCCTTTTGTTTCCTTCAAACCATTCCTCAAATTCGAACTCAAACTCTCAAGTTTCATCCCTCCCTCCTCTCTCCCCCTCTCGCTCTCTATCTACCAATCTATCTATCCTTTGAACCCTTTCTCCAAGTATCCCTTTCAACTCCAAGATGCAAAGTCCAATTAAACTCCATCCTTGAACCCATGCTACCAAGTTTCCTCTTTTCCCCTCTCTCTTTTGAATTCCTTTCGAATAATCCAACAAGTCCCCAAATATACATCCATCCCAAAATATCACGTTCTCGAGTCGATGCCCTCTCCTTGACCCCTTGTATTTCACTAAGTTAAAATGTAAAACTCGAATCCCGATCCCAACTCAAACCATATTTATCTCTATCCTCCCCCGGCAGTAATTCCTTTGATTCGAAACTAGTTTCAAATCCAAATTCTTGTCCCCTTAAATCCCCCTCAAACTTTCCGAAGGTTCAAATACAAACTTATCCCGAAAATATCAAACTCACACCATATTTATTTTCCTTGACTCCTCTCTAATTCTCTGAGTTCAAATATAAAATTTTAATTCAAATCCCACATCAAATGCTCCTCAAAATTCCTAAAAGAATTCCTAAAAAAAGATTAAAATCATTTTACATCACCTCCCTTCCTTTTCTCTGAACCCAACCCAACCCCCTACCGCCTGGGCCGCCTCCACTCCCTCGATCCTGTCCAACCCCGCCTCCCACGCGCCACGCATGTACGGGGAGGAAGGCGCCTTCGTCGTCATTCGATTTTGGCCGCGCCGTCATCGCCATTCTATTTTGGCCGTGCCGCTTGCCGTTCCCGGGCGCGCTCCCGTCATGGCTGATCGGAAGGGAGCCCGGCGTCACCGCGCCAGCCTGCCCTGCCGTAGCGACTGCTCTATAGCCGCTGATTCGCGTAGATGCCACCGGGCTCTGCTGTCCACGCATCGCGCGCGCCGCGCTTCTTGACGCGATGCCGGACCCGGAATCTCCATCCCTGAAACCTGGCCGCCCTCCTCCCACCGGGCCACCGCCTCCGAAGCCGCTCCTTGTCGCCAGTGAGCACCCCATTCCCATATCCCTAGGTCTATGCCCTCTGGAGGCTCAAGGATAGCTCCTGAGCACGTTCCCTCGCCGCTGCTCCGGTTTTCGCCGACGCCGCGCCCGGTCGTGCGTGACCGTTGGCCTCCTTCTCGGCGAATCCCCTCACCACCGCCTCCCTCGAGACCTCCCCTTCCCTCCCCAAAGCAGTGCCAAGGATGCCGTCCTCTCTCCGTTCCACGTACTCCCTTCCGCCGCCATTGCGCGCCTCACGGTGCCGCCATCGGCCGTTCTCCCGTCGATCTCTCTCGCCCCCACCCTCCCTGAGCCCCTAGAAACCTCCCCAAAGATACCCCTTGTCCGCCGGCCTCCTCTCCCGCCGCTACTCGAGATCCCCTAATAGATTCCAAACGGCCCGTAAGTGTCCACGTTTGCCAAACGACCCCCAATAGATTTCAAAGGCGACTTGCGTTCCTCGGGATCTTGAGCTTAACTAATTTTCGACAAAGCATGACAAACAAACAAAAACCAACGCATGAAAATGATCATATTTAGACTAACTACTGGAAGTGGAACAAAGTCAATTGAAGCTACAAAACAAGAGATGGATTTTCTAAGATTAATTGATTTTTTTTGAAACAATGAGAAATGATTTATTGATTTTCTTGAAAAGTATATTCTTTGCGTGTCACTGACAAGTGGGGCCAAGGGCACACGTGGACTTATTCCACGGCCGGCTAGAATGGGAGGAGGGAAGATGGTCTTTGGTTCATAGGCCGAGAGAAGAAATTCGGCCTACTCGACCGGCGCAAGGGGACAGACGCCGGCCGGCACAACGAAGCGGCCCACCATCAGATGATTACCAACACAAGCAAATAAGCATGCTGACAGTCTTGCCCACAAAGCTAGAACTTCATCTATTACCCCTTCCAATCCAGATTTTTTTTTCACAAAGAGATCAGTATATCTAATCTAATGGTCTGAGATAATGGACCAACAATTTAAATGAAAACAGAGGGCTAGATATTTTTCTTTTTAATCAAATTTTTTAGGATTTTTTTTATTTTATTAAAATGATATGTGGTAGCTTGAGAACGTTTTGAGATGTCACATGGCGGTTTAAGAGTATTTTAAAAGAGTTTAATAGACTTTTAGTATATAATAGATAGATAGATAAATTATGTTCAACTCTGGAAACTTCTTATACTGAGTACAATACAAATTTTGACTTGCACGTCACCTGATCGACTACGTACAGCAGCAATCTCGTCCTAGGACCGGTGTCTATGTTAATGTCATGCATGTTTGGATTATGGCCATGTTTAGTTGTTTTGATAAAAACATTTTAACGTATATATACACACATTTCAAGTATTAAATGTAGACTAATAATAAAACAAATTACAGATTCTGCCTGTAAAGTGCGAGACAAATCTATTAAGCCTAATTAATCCGTCATTAGCAAATATTTACTGTAGCACCACATTGTCAAATCATGGTGTAATTAGGCTTAAAAGATTCGTCTCGCAATTTACATGCAAACTGTGCAATTGGTTTTTTTCGTTCACATTTAATACTCCATGCATATGTCTAAACATGTGATGTGATGGAAAAATTGAAAATTTGAAGGAAAGTAGACAAGGCCACAAGGCCCACACAAAGTAGGTCGTCCTTTTTTCGCCTGGACGTCACGTCCGCTGGAACAATTAGGCTTACCTAATTCTACTTATTAGTCACTGAAGTCGTTTTCTTGTTCGTAAAAAATATATATCTAAAGCTAACCTCAGTACTGAAGTTCTTATCTAATAATTTCTTATTACATACTACTCCCTCAATTCCAAAATATAAGCATTTTTGGTTATAAATCTGAACAACTGTCTATTCAGATTTATAGCTAAAAGTTACTCCTATTATATTTTATAACGAAGATAGTATTAATCATACAGAGTTGCACACGTACGCCAGCGGAGGACAAGCTAGGACGAAGACGATCGTTTAACGGGTCTAGCACGCACGAGAAAGGCAGCACCATGAGGAAGAAGACGAAGAGAGATAGGGAGGACATGTGGGATTCGCAAGTGAGCTCGAGCCTATGGGTAAATTTTTATTTAACTAATGTTTATCTGTTTTTTTTTCAGATATAATAAAATAATACAATAGGTGTCCACCAACTAATTATTATTGTTTTCTGATTCAACTAGCAGAAATGCGTTCTTGTGTTCTCCGAAAAAAAAAACGTAAACTTTGGGTTTCATGTAGTAAATTTTGTCTTTTTTCTATCTCCCACGAATTATTTTGGCATTCCATGATGCTGAACTCTGCTTATACAAGACGAAATTGTTCAGCCCTCCGATCCAATTATCTCCTGCAGTGTTAGACGATACTGCTTACTTTTAAATCCTTCTTAATTTGTAACACCCCAAATAACCACGTACCTAGAGTGTCACATCAAAATACACTTAAAATCAAGTACATAGAGTGTCACACCAAAATACACTTAAAATCACTAACTCCCAAAATTATTAGAAATTTCGGCAGATTCTCCTTTATAAATATAGATATCCACGACAAACAATTATAAATTGAACTAATAATAATATCATTTCCACAATGTGATTCATCCATATAACCCATGGAAAGAAACTAATAGGTATCTGGATTATTAGAAAACCAAACCAAGATATGGTCTAAGTATTATTATGGACCTAAACATTATAGTTTGATAGTGTGCACATAGGTATGTATACAAGGGTGCTACTTCCCGCTCATGCATACCCGACCTTAATGTGTACCTAAAACCGAATAAATACAAGAGTGAGTACGAAAATATTCAGCAAGTATAATATGGAACTAGAAAACACATATACACATCATTGATAATAAAGCATAAACAGAAAGCTTTCTTTTTTTTTGATAAGAAAGACATTTTCAAACACCAAGTCAAAAAAGATAGTAGTTCCCATCTCGGGCAGGTATGAATTGAAATAATAGTTTTCATCCCAGACAATAGTGAACATATTCTAGCATTTGTCGGCAAAGCCGAGTAAGCGTGATCAACGCTTATCCACAGGAACATGAATAGAAAACCAGATAGCACATCCATGCTCGCATGGAACATGAATAATTGAAGTCGAAAACAAAGAACCAAATTAAAAACATATTGCACATCCATATCAAGCATGGAACTTGAATTATTTAACCAGAACCAGAATCCGAAATATTGAAACAAGAATAACATCGTAAATATAAGATGAACTCGAAATCTAAATAGTGTGAACAACAATCTGAACATAAACAGTCACTTATCACATAGAAATATATCGGAAATAAATAGATAGAACAAACAATCCATGAATTATACACTTAGTTCGTCATGCACTTGCCTTTAACCTTGACGGTAATGCGATGAACCACCCTCCACACCAGATCTCTCCACACCCATGGAGCAAAACTATAAATAAACCACTATATTCAACTAATAATAGTTACAAAGGATATTTACTAAAATCGAAACCAATAACATATAAACTTTTACCGATTTGTATTAAATAACCTATAGCAGTTCCATTACTGTTTTATACGTAACTCGCAAACCATCTAACGGAATCTAGTAAATAATAGCACTTCAAGCATTTACAGAAAATAATCTACAACTTTCATGTTGGGCCAAAAATCAGATTATGCCTCTGTAAATCCTAGCTTAAGTAAAACGAATTGCTGTCTTGATTTCTAGACCTGGTCAGCAGTATTGTTTTTGCTGTTTCTCCCAAACCGTTTATCGGAATTGAGTGAAACCAGCGCCGTTGGAAAGATATCGACGATGAATACAAACTTTATTTAGGACAATCAATCTGAATCCCGATGGTTTAATACCATATTTGAAAATATGGTTTCAGCCTAGCGGCCGATAAATTAAATTCGAGCTACCGAAAACAGATCCTCTTATATATAAATTAGAAACAACTAGGGGCTAAAACGAAGTACCTAGCAGTACTAATTTGTAAAAAAAACAATGAATTTGAAAATATCAACCAAATTCCCCAAATTTCCCTTCTTCTATCTAATTTCTCCTTCTCTCCCTGCTTCCTTCTTCTCTGCCTTCTAACCCTCCTCTATGTTCGGCAGACCAGCAGCAGCAAGGAACACCAGCACAGGGGCAACAGCAGCCTTAGCAGCAGCAGGAATTGGAGTCCAACACACAACAGCAAAAGTCCAATCGAGAAAACAAAATCAAACCTGCTGCTCCAATCAGCCACCACCAGGGTACGTAGGAGCAGGCTGACAGGAAGGAGTACCAGCGATGGCGACCGGCAACAGAGGCAGCAACGAGGGCAGCAGCGTGATGGTGGCGCAGCAACGATTGGGGTGATGGCGGCTAGGGCTTGAGAGGCTCTCGATCTTTCTTTTTTTTTTCCATTTTTTTTTGTCTGTAGGTATATATAAGAGATTAGAAAGGAGATCAATCAGTCCACGTCGATTCAATCCGCAGGAATTCATTCGGACTACAATTACTATAAATTATAAATTATAGTCTATTTTGCACTACTCGGCGAGCTCTACGTATCCACAGTTATTGATCGCATATTCAAACAACGGTTTAAAAATTAAACTTTTACGTGTTTGTTCTAATATTTACTTAAACCCATTAATTCAAAACTCAGGGTATTTAATAATTCCTAACTTAGGCTGCATTCTAAGGAAGGAACGGATAGTGAGAAAATATTTCCTTTTTCATGTGCAAGCTTCTCAAATCATTAAACGGTATGTTTTTTTTTGAAAAAAACAATCTAAAAAAACAATATATTAGAAAGTTGTTTTAAAAAATCATATTAATTTATTTTTAAGTTTAAAATAATTAATACTTAATTAATCACGTATTAATAGCTTACCTTACTTTCAATCTTCTCTTTTCCTTCCCTCTCGGACAGTCTTAAGACATATTTGGAAGATCTTCTGGGCTTCGCATCCTCCGCCGTTCCAGTTGAGCTACAGTACCATGCCGTTGGGCATTTTATATCCGTTGGATCTAAGTTTTGAATGCACGTGATTAAACGCTACAGTAGCAAAAAAAAAACAATCAAAAATATTTTTCACTAGCCGCCGGCGGCCGCCGCCGCCGGGTAGTCAGTAGCTGACGGTGGAACGGCGGATGCATGTAATAACGAAGGCTCGTAAATAGGCTGATGTATGATACATAGGCCTCGACGCTAGCGCTGAGTGAGGAGATATTACGAGAAATCAAGTGACACCGTGTTTGTGTTTAGATCCTAAATTTTTTTTAAAACTTTTAACTTTTTTCATTATATCAAAATTTTCTACTCACATAAACTTTTAATTTTTCCATCACATCGTTCTAATTTCAACCAAACATCTAATTTTAGCATGGACAGAGTGACACATACATCCCTGACGGTTCTGATGGGTCATGGGTGTGTGCCGCGTGGCCCGATCGATACAGACGTAGTGTTTGAAGATGGCTCCTTAATTTTTCTTCTCCAATGAAATGTCCTTTCATTTCATGTCACCTAATTAAATAGTTATAAGAAAATTAAATAAATAAATGTGTATATATAAATATGTGATAAGTTTAAATTTGCAATGGTTATAATATGTGTATTTACGATACTTTGTCAGTTGCTTCCTGTACGACCACTACAACAAAAAATTAAAGTTTCTGTAAAACTCCCTTGGTTCTCAAATTGACCACTCGTCTCTTTTTTTTTCTTTTCAAAAACGCTATATAAATGCTTTAAAAAGATGTTATAATAATATTAAAGAATATTGCATCCTAAACAAGGTTCCGTTCGTTATAGTCTAGCCATTGCATTTTAAAGTTATTAGGGGTCAAAGATAAGCTAGAATAGCGCATCAAAACAATGAGGTAAGTATTAAATGGGGAGATAGTACTACAAAATTAATCAAACAGAAAGGTCACCTTCTTTTAATAGAAAAATTAGGTTAGGTGAGGTGACCCAATAATCGTCATCCGGGGAGGGTGGTTGTTTATAAATAGAGACCATGAGAGATAGACCATCCACTACCCAAGTAGCAAGGTCACAGCCTCCTCTGTAACTTAATTACTAGGTAGCTTAGACCGGGACATGTCTGGGAGCAAGGTGATTAGTGTTCTCGATACGAAGGTGCTCGCTGTTAAAGGTGGCACCATGACGCAGCCGGCTGCCGCTGCCACCACCGGCCGAGCTTGTTCGCCGTCCGTGTGGGGCGACTTCTTCGTCACTTACATTCCTCCCAAACCACAGGCATGCAAATTAATTAATTATTATTATTAAACAATATACTAGTATATTGTTACACACATATATGTATATGATATAGAGATCAGATATTCTCTGAATGCACCAAAAAAATATTTAGTTACCCCTTCGATGTCTTTTGAGTTTTGGCTCATCCCTTTTATAATATACTAGATGAAACCCCGCGCGGTTGATACGGAAGTTTTGTATAATAACATGCAAGATATTTTAATGATATAACTTTATATAATTTTCATCTTTGATCGACTATTTGAATGAAAGACTATAAACAGTTGAGATGAAGATATATAGCTAGATAACATAACTTTATATACTTTATATAATTTTCATCTTTTATCGAAGCTATATATAAACAATTAAGATGATGTGATTTGTACTAATTTAAATCATATATAGATTGATCATTTAAACGCAAAACAAATGTGATGCGGCTCAGTAAGAGAAGAAAAAGAAGAGAGATAATATGGATTAATTATCCAAAGACAAAACTAAAGTGATATGACTTTATAAGAAAAGAAAAGGAGGTTTAGACCATTGATCAATTATCCAAGGGCTAGAAATAATTGAGATAATGTGACTTAATGAGAGGATAAAAATTTTATAGTCCTTGAGAAGGTACCATGAGGTACCACTTTTTCTATTATAAATTTGGTAACTCTTGTTACTTACTCAATGACCGTAAAATTGTTCATAAAAATAACATACACTACACTTATACTACACTTAGTAGAAATGAATTTTATAGACATATAAGATACCATAGAGTTTCTATATATCAATCCCTACACGTTCATTTTTTCAGTTGATCGGTACTTAGTTACTATGAGGTACAAAAAATTAGTATAAAATTTGGTATCTCATAGTACCTCCTCAATGACTGTAAAATTGCTTATAAAAATAACATACACTACACTTATACTATACACTTATACTACACTTAGTAGAAATGAATTTTATAGACATATAAGATACCATAGAGTTTCTATATATCAATCCCTACACGTTCATTTTTTCAGTTGATCATTATTTTTTTCCTAAAATAATCATATTGCCCTAATTTATGTATTACAGGACGAAAACCGCTCTAAGTAAAAAACAATTTTCAGTTTTTGAAAAAAGATATGAATGGCTAAAATACAATTAAAAATTTTCAAATTGTGCACTTTATAAGAAAAACAAGAAATTAAATATTAAACAAGTTTTAAAAAAAATCATGAAGTGATAATAATGACAGAATTAGGTGAATACCAGCTTAAATTTACGTCAAAATATATACTTCTTGTTCTCATATTCCAAAGCATTCTTAGAGATGCGTATCCTTCTTACCCTTCATCAATACGTTCGTACTAATACTAGTACTTCTCATTGCCGGAAATCCTAATCAAAACTATTAGATAGTTCCCATCCACACTATAATCATAATCATAATCATAATCATAATCATAATATATAGACACTAAATATAAAAACTATATACCGAGTGGGTGGAAAATAAATTCTCATCCAGTCACGTCTTTTCTATCTCCTTTCGATCATCTCCATATCCTCTTGTCTTCGTTCTTAATTTCTACGTAGAGCTGGTTTCTTCCTTGAGCAACGTGTTTTTCATTTTTTTTTTATCTTCATTAACTCTCTTGTCAAGTTATTTTTTTCTTACATGATAGCATTTTTAATTCCATAGAAACTTGCTGAGATGGAAGGTGGAGCTGGGACTGTCCATAAAAATATTTTCTCCTTGCTTTGGAAAAGATGATCAAGATGTACTAATTAATGGATAGCAATGTAATTTAGCACACCTCCTAGTTTAGTATGAGATTTGCTGGAATGATAGGTAAATTGAAACCGAGACAGTACATGGTTATGAGAAAATCGACAATTTTCAAACTGCATATTCATTCACAAAATTACATTTCAAATTCGATGCAAAGTTTCATAAACTCATTTTGAGTAAAATACATGGCCGGTCCTTAAAGTTGAGCGCGGGTGTCACTTAGGTCAATAATCTTGTAAATTGCAAATCTAGATCCACCATCTTGTTTAAGTGACTCGTTGAGGTCCAAACCCCACTTGACCAACTCTGACCGTCGACGTGGCACGCCACGCAAGCATCAATTTTGCAAACAAACCCCTCCGCAACAGTAGCGCCATGGACAGCACAAATATCCCCAAATCCTTCGCCATAGTCATGCCGCGCCGCCGCCGCTACCGACGGCGTCGCGAGCGCCAGTAGCAAGCGGCATACTAGCATGACACACGTGCGAGTGGCAGCAGCGGTGGTGCACGGGAAACGACTAGGCCGAGCAAAACGCCTCTCCGCCTCCTCCCTCTCCGCACGCGTTCGCCACTGGCCACCCCCTCCTTCTCCACACACGCTCACCACCGGCCACCCCCTCCTCCTCGTGCACCACGGCCGCGGGCGGCGGTGGGCAAGTGCGGGGGCGGGCCGGCAGTCGGCGCGCACGGCGGTGGCCATGGCGGAGAGGCGGAAGCGTCGGCGAGGCAGGCATGGCGGAGAGGCGCAGCACCCGGCGCACGTCGCCGGCGCCGACGGCGGCCACCGGATCTCCCTGCCACCGACGCCTCCTCTCTCGCCGCCTGCCACCGACGCCTCCTCTCTCGCCGCTCGCCAACGATGCCTCCTCTCCCGTCCCCCACCGACGCCTCCTCTCTCGTGCTGCCAACGCCATCCTCTGCACACCCAGGTTGAAGACGACAATGACGAGCTCGGGCGCGATGGCAGCGATGGAGTCTCGGAGGCTCGGAGCGGAAGGGCAGAGTCGGCGACGCCGCGTGGGAGGGCAGCGGGGCCGTCCCCATGCGCCGCCCGCCCCTCCGCGTAGCAATTCGCCGGTCGCCACCGACGCCTCGCCGTGCGCACTTGCCAACCTGCATCAGAGAGAGAGAGAGAGAGATTTAGGAAGACAGGAAGAAAAATGGGGGACAAAATGTAAATATGTTGCCACGCTGGACCGCCACGTAAGTCAGTCAATCCGGTCAGAGGTCCTTTGGACCTGAATGAGTCACTTAAACAAGATGGTGGACCTAAATGTGCAATTTACAAGATTATGGACCTAAGTGACACCCGCGCTCAACTTTAAGGACCGGCCGTGTATTTTACTCATTTTTTTTTGAAATCTGAATGAAATTACTTTACAAATTTTTGAATTTGGAAACTACATATTCGGTAATTTATCCCTTACTTTTTTTCACAATGCAAATAATTCCTACATAGAACATTACTGATTTTTTAGTAATATGCCAATGGAAATAAGGTCGTTTCGTAAAAAACACACACTAACATGTAACTAATGGAGTGGACGAGTAAGGGATTAGAATAACTCAACGGCACATAAGGGATCAAACAAATCTTAGAGATGTAGGAGGGATGCGTGAAATCTCACAGACATGTAACCAATTGACTATATATAACATAGTACTTGCTAGCTTAATTAGTAGTTTGACAATACATTGATACTTTAACTATAGCTCTCATGGGTTTAATTTAGAGGTCGGAGGAGTGGATGAGAGAACGGGTGGATCGGCTAAAGATGCAGGTGGGCTGCAAAATTTTGAAGACCATAAATGTGCCCTACACGGTGATGCTAGTGGACGTGCTCGAACGCCTCCATATAGACAACCACTTCCGTGACGAGATTGCCACAGCGTTACAGCATGTATTTCACCACGATGAACAGCAGAAAGCTGCCGCTGGCTTTGACGATGGTGACCAGCTCTACCTCGAATCCCTTAGATTTCGTCTACTTCGCCAGCACGGTTTCTGGGTATCTGCAGGTAGCCTAAATTATATTCTGATCTTTGTTTTCTAGAAGGATATTTTGTTATGTAGATGTTGATCTAAAATGAATATAATTGCCGAATTAGTTAGAAGGCATTTTCATGGTAGTCGGGTTGCTAGCAGCCCAAAAAGCTGTTGAAAAATAGAATACGCTGAAAAAAAACCAATAAATGTTATTTGAGCACATACATCTCTCCACCTCTCTGATTCATTTGAGAGAAATTTTATGGTTTTTGAAAAAATACCTTGAGGTAATTAAATTACACATTAAAATTTGTGGTATACTTACTACTTGAAGGTCCCAATACATTTTCAATGGTGATAACATTACCTTTCATTTAATTGGATAAATCCCTGGAGCATATATAGTAGTATGTACACCCTTACAGCTAGAAATTTGTGCATGCAGATGTATTCGACAAGTTCAAAGATAGCACGGGTTGTTTTAGAGAGAGCCTAAGCACGGATGCAAGGGGCCTGCTAAGCCTATACAATGCAGCGCACCTCGCCATGCCCGGTGAAGCGGCACTCGATGACGCCATCGCGTTCTCGAGACGGAGCCTCCAGTCCCTGCAAGGTGCACTGAGGTCACCCATGGCCAAGCAGGTCTCCCGCGCCCTCGACATCCCTCTCCCGCGGGCGCCCAAGCTGCTGGAGACGATGCACTACATCACCGAGTATGAGCAGGAGGCGGCGCACGACGGCATGGTGCTAGAGCTCGCGAGGCTGGACTTCGAGCTCGTCAGATCTCTTTACCTCAAGGAGCTCAAGGCCCTCTCCTTGTAATCAATTAAGTTATCCTATTACTTTTTATTCCCCAGAACCTAAAATTATTTCTTGCCTCACTGCCCTTTACTGCTCTCTCTGCTTCACCTACAGTTAAGATTATGATATATAGTAGAAATATTACTGCTAGTGATTTTTAAAAAAAGGACATCGTAAAATTACTCAACTCAACTTCACGGTTAATATAACTAGCTACATGAGTGATCTATTTCTAATCTACATATGCATGCGAATATGATTGGCAGGTGGTGGAGACAACTTTATGACAGCGTGCAGCTAAGCTACGCTCGAGATTGCCTAGTAGAGTCTTACTTTTGGACCTGTGCCATGTTCCACGGGGAGGACTACTCTCGTGCGCGAATCATATTTGCTAAGGTGTTTCAACTTATGACCATGACGGATGACATCTATGATATCCACGCCACCTTGGAGGAGTGTTATAAGTTTAACGAAGCTGTACAGAGGTAGAAATTAACTATTCCATCTCTTTATATTATAAGACGTTTTGTTCTATTCATCTCTTATGTAGGTTTATTAATATCTATATAAATTTAAACACATATATTAAGCACGTACATAGATCTATGTATAAATATATTTAAAATCCAAAACATCTTAAAACGTCAAACTGAAGTAGTAATAAGTTATCAATTTGCCAACGAGCGTAGCTACCTCGTCTGATTAGTCTAATTAATATATCCTTCTACACATGTAGATGGGACAAGAGTGCGGTTTCTATTCTACCAGAATACCTGCGCAACTTTTACATAAGGATTCTCAATGACTTTGATGAGATGGAGGACAGCTTGGAGCCAGATGAGAAGCACCGCATGTCTTACGTGAAATCTTCGGTAAAATCTTTCTCGGCAAAAAACATAGACATACTAAAAGAGTAAAAGTGATATATTCATGCGTTCACCCACACATTTTGATTGATTTTCCTACACACGAATATATGTATGTACAGTTCAAGCAGCAGTCAGAATACTACCTCCGTGAGGCCCAATGGTCGAGCGACAAGCACATGCCCAGCTTCGCCGAGCATCTGGACGTGTCTTTCATGTCAATTGGCTACCCAACAATGGCTGTGGTGGTGCTATTGTGCGCACGCGACGGCGACGGTGCGGCGGCGTCCATGGAGGCATCCGAGTGGGCGCCCAGCTTGGTCCGCGCCGGCGGCGAGGTCACCCGCTTCCTCAACGACATCGCCTCCTACAAGACCGGGAAGAGCGGCAAGGACGCGGCGAGCACGATCGAGTGCTACATGGCGGAGCGCGGCGTGGGCGGGGAGGAGGCCGTGGCGGCGGTGGCCGCGCTGGTGGAGAGCGCGTGGAGGACGATCAACAGGGCGTGCGTCGAGATGGATCCCAACCTGCTGCCGGCGGCGCGGCTGTTGGTGAACCTTGCGACGACACCGGAGGTCATCTACTTCGGCGGCAGGGACGGCTACACCGTCGGCGCCGACCTCAAGGGTCTCGTCACCGCCCTCTTCCTCGACCCCCTTCGCGTTTAATCAGGCACAGCAATCATAGACGTACGCGTTCCTGTCCAGCATATATATGTTATATACTATATATGTACGTACATGTAATCAGTTGTTTTATGTATGCTTATGTTAGAAACGAGAAATTTACCGTACTTTGAGAAAGTATTTGAGGTATGAGGGATGCTACAGAACGGGATCCCGTTGCAACGGGATAAGGCATATTAACTATTCTCTTGCATGAGTATGACATGTATCAGGTCCTAAGTATCACAGGTACCGAGTAACAGGTATCACAGGTATCGGGTACCATACAGCTGGTACCACAACAGGTATCAGGTACTATCTCATAAAAGGTATCCCGTTCCAATGAGATACTGTTGTCTAGGTTTTCTGTTGAGGTATCTCAAAATACTATTATCTAGATATACCAAAATTTGTGTCCCGATAGATTAAAATCCATCTTCATATACGTATACTAGTTAGAGTTTAATTTGATATTTTTATTACAACTTGTAGAAGTCGAATTTAAACTTACATGTTTATGAAGTGATATATTATATATTAATCTATCTTGTAATTTTTTCTTAATCATTTAGTTGACATGTAAGAAACGGGTGGACGTCCACCTGAGAGATTAGAATCCATCTTCATATATAGTGGCATACTAGCTAGCAGTTGTCCCACGTTAGGCTACCTGTCTAATCTCCCCTTGGGAGATGTTTCCATCACTCATGTAATAACCTTCCTATCAAATAAAGTTCACCGAGTTTTGAAAAAAAAAACACGCACATACTACACACACAGGTAGACTGAGAGCTAACTTGCTGGATTCTGCCAACACACATATACGGCATGCATAATGCACAACCATGTATGACAATTTCTTATGGAAGACAAGTATACTATCCCTATCATAAGCATATGCTAGCGATTTAACTAGGTTTTATCGCATAGTATGTAAGTACACATCCATTTGTACTATGTAAGAGCTAGTCTCTCTCTCTCTCTCAAAGAGAATTGGATATTTTTTAAAGACACAAGAAGTAGCTAGGTAGTACATACGTGTAGCAAGTTGTCGATCACGTAAATAACTACTCCCTCTATCCCAAAAAAAAAATTTATTAGATGTGATATTTTCTAACACAACAAATCTAAATAACCTTCTGTTTAGATTTGTTTTATTATGAATTATCACCTTTAGTGTACTATATTGGTTTTTTTTTAAATGGAGAGGGTATATATTACGTTGTGCCTAATCGTCATGGACTGGGCCGAGTAAGAGATCGGTGATGACCCCCTTGAGCCCGGAGCCGGAGGTGTAGCCGTCCTTGCCGCCGAGGTACACCACCTCCATGGTGCTCGTCAGGTTCACCAGCAGCTGCGCGGCCGGCAGCAGCGCGGGTTCTACCGCCTCCACGCACGCGCGGTTGATCCGCCTCCACGCGCGCTCCGACGCAGCCGCCACCGCCGCCACGGCCGCGTCCCCGCCCGCGCCGTGCTCCGTCATGTAGGTCTCCACGAGGCTCGCACGTCCTTCCTGTTCTTCCCCACCTTCCAGGCGGCGATGTCGTTGAGGAGGCGGCCCACCTCGCCGCTGGCGAGGAGCAGGTCCGGGATGGCGCACGCCCACTCCAACGCCTCCTTGGTCGCCACGCCGTCACCGTCGTGCACGCCCATCAGCACCGCCGGTGCCAGCGCCGGGATGCCCGACGAGATGCTGGACACGTACAGGTGCTCCGCGAAGCTCGGCAGGTACCTGTGGCTCGACCATCGGGCCTCCTGGAGGTAGTATTCAGACAACTGCTTGTACTGTACATGTATGCAGGCATATGAAGATAATATAAGTTATTTGAACTCTGTTTATTGTGAATAGAATATTTTTTTTACTGCAGTATATTTTATTTATCAAGGAAAATAATGTCGCGTCATAGTAACTAGCTTGTTGAGGAAAAATAAAATTGACTGATCGTGTGTCCTTGGGGAAAATTACACCTGACGTGAACGTACGTCAGGGTAAAGTGTATATATACTTTTATATTTCAAATTTTAGACTACGAACTATATATGTTTTCGTCAAATAGATACTCTCTCTCTATTTCTAAATATAAGACAACTATTTTTGGCTCATGTCTCATAATATAACGTTCTGTATATAACACGATGCATTCAAATGTCAATATGTTAAATCCTTAGTACATACAAAACATTACAACTTAACATATATAAAATGACATTAATATGTCAAAATTATTTGAAAATTTCTTTCATGCAGCTATAGTTTTATTAATTTTATAATATATACTCCGTAGTTGGATAAAAATTGTGATGAAACATGTGTGACTACGCCAACATTAATATCCAAAACATTAACTAAACTAACAAACAACAAGGGAGTATATTTTTCGATACTTTTGAGGTTTACAACAACGAACACAAAGCTCTACTTATCATGGAGACGTACATAATTTTTCCTTGTTATTGACAAGTTAATTCTAAAATTCGGAATTGTCAAATACAAAGTTAGAATGAATATGGAGTCGCAACTATAGGCTTTTATAGTCTAATAATTTTAAATTTTTGAAATGAAATTAATAATTATCAAGTCATATTCATGGCCTAAAAATATTTTCTCCAACCGATTGAATACCACTCTGGCCCTAATAGTTTTGTTGATTATTGTGATTATTGCTTGACAGCCAAAAAATGTTAAAATTCAGAAATTTTGTCAACATAATTAGCAGTGTTATTTTTACTTTTCTTGACAAATAATAAATTTATAAAGTCAGTATACACTAAGGTATATCTATATATCTTGACTCTCTATTTAAGTATCTAACCAGTTTCATTCTAAATTTATAATTAGAAGTTATATATGATTCGGTGCTCCTCTCATAATAGATCGATCGATACTCTCTATATTATCTAGGGTGTATCTTCTTCTCTTAATAATTGACTAGTTCTATATTTAAGTATCTTGACTCTGGATCACTATAAAAAATATTTTCATGGACACCCCTTTCCTTTTACAGGCAAGCTAAAAATACGTCAGTATATGTAAAAAGATTTTACCATAGTTATGGCGTAAGACACACGGTGTTTCTCATTTGGTTCTAAGCTATTCTCCATCTCGTCAAAGTTGCTTAGCAACTTTATGTAATATGCATGCATATATTCTGGTAGAATAGAAACTGCTCCGTTGTCCCATCTGCATATTTATAAGGATTGAGTAGTTAGCTCAGCTCAGATAGTTCATTTTGACAAAATAAACAAATAGGTCATTACTAATTTCTACCTCTGTATTGTTTCATTGAACCTACAACACTCGTCCAAGGTGTCTTGGACATCATAAGTGTCATCCATTAGGGTTATCAATCCGAAAACCTTAGCAAGCATAATACGTGCGCGAGAGTATTTCTCCTCGTAGTACACTCCGCTAACCCAGAAGAAGACCTCTGCTATACGGTCTCGGGTGTAGCTCAGCTTTACATTGTCGTAAAAGTCTTTCCACCACCTGTATGTACCAATCAATTGACCATGCTTGAATCCATTTGTTTATACTGGAAAAGTTTGGGACACTTATTTGCCAAAATGGTTGATTTTTTTTCTCATTCATTAGAACAACATCTAACAACAGTATCGCTAGCTATTTTTTCAATAGTGGCAAAGCAAGCTATGCTCTATCATGGAATTGGAAGTTATACATTGATGTTGACACATGCCAATACAAGAGAAGGCAAAATAAAGCATAAAAACATATCTAGAGTAATCCAAAAAAAAATATACGAACGAAACGAAACTAGCTTAAGTTGGTCTAATGCGACATACTTCAAGTTGTAACTTGTGAATTCTGCAAGTTTAGGATAAGCAATTTGCAAGCTACTCCAGGTGACAGATAAATAAGAAAAGAAAACCATGGCTGATAAACAGAAAAGCTGAAAATTTAATTGTTTTTAGCTAGCTAGACGGGGCAAAGGTGCAGTCAAATATTAATTTAGACAAAATGGAGTTCACAACAGAGAGGGGTACATATATATTTGAGAGTAGGCTGTCAGTCAATTAACGGAAAACACAAACAACAGCTTGCTAGCTATATGAAGAAAAAAATAGTTGTACTTCTTTAGCAGGGATATTTAAGTAAGCAGCTGAGATCACAGGAAGCGAAAACGTGAAAACTTACAGGGTGAGGGCCTTGAGCTCCCTTAGGTGAAGAGACTTCACGAGCTCAAAGTCCAGCCTCGCGAGCTCCAGCACCACGCCGTCAAAACCCGGCTCATCGCCGTACTCGTGGATGTAGCGCATCGCCTCCAGCCGCCTGGGCGTCCGCGGGAGAGGGATGTCGAGGGCGCGGGAGACCTGCTCGGCCATCGGCGACCTCAGCTTGCCTGCGGTTTTCATGGACCGTAGGTGGCGCCTCGAGAACGCGATGGCGTCGTCGAGCACCTCCTCGCCGGGCATGGCCAGGTGAGCCGCGTTGTACAGACTTAGAAGACCCCTCGTGTCACTGCTTAGGCTTGCTCTGAAACTGCCCCCGTTGTCTCTGAACTTGTCGAACACATCTTTTGCAATGCATGAATTAATATTTTCTATCAGTAAAATGTACATATTTTGTTGTGAGCAGACCAGTAAAATGTATGTGTGTGTATATTTATATATTCAGAGTTCAAATTAGATATATACCAGCTAGTCGTTAACCTGTGCTTTGCGGTAGCTGTATTATTATCGATATAATTTTAGGTAGTATAAGTTCAATAATATGTTGAATACACGGGTAGTTTTTTGAATTGCAAAAAAAAAGTAACTCTCTGTCTAACTACTAGTATTAATCTTAAAATTTAGAATTAAATTAATAAAATTCCAACTCTTACAAAATTTAGTCTCATAACTAGCTAATTACTAAATTTTAAATTTTAGCATTAAATATTAATAGAGTGTTAAATAAATTTTGAAGTGGGGATCATGTTATTCAAAGTATTTTGGTGGGGATCATGTTATTATTCAAAGTATTTTGGTGGGGATCATGTTATTTTTTTATATATTTACAAATATATAAAAACTAAGAGCCAGCTTTAGTTTTCCAAAATATAATTAGTAAACGTATTTAAAAAAATGTATTTCAATTTTTTCGAAATATATTAACAAAAACTACCAATCAATTTTGGGAAAAAAACTAAATTTAAATTCCCACCTACATTATCCACCTAATCAATGTTTTTACGTGGGAGTTGCCTTGAAATGTTTAATTAATCAGTTTTCAATTATGAAGATACGCAGATATGATTACCTAGGGGTGGGGTCAAGACTCGTGGGTTTTTTCACAACCCATCTCAACTCTTAAATATTTTTAGCATAAAAAACTACTAAATTTTAGCCCAACTCATTTTAGACTCATTTTGACCTCACATTTTGTAGGTCAAAATGTTGGGTCCATTACCACCCTAAGGCTGTGTTCGGAGGAGGGGTTGTCCCTGACACGCAAAACAAAGTTTATTTTATTGCATGATTAATTAAGTATTAATTATTTTTTTAAAAAAATGGATTAATATAATTTTTTAAGCAACTTTCATATAGAAAGTTTTTGCATAAATCACGCCGTTTAGCAGTTTAAAAAACGTGCACGCGTAAAACGGGAGTGATGGGTTGGGAAAACAGGGGAAAGAACACAGCCTAACTGTACCTGCAGATATCCCCAAGCCGTGCTGGCGAAGCAGCCGGAATCGGAGGGAAGTAACGTGAAGGTCGTCGTCGGCGACATCGGAGCCGGCAGCACCGCCGCCGCCGCCGTGCTCCTCGCTGTGCACACGGTGTAGCATCGCCGCGATCTCGTGGCGGAAGTGGTTGTCTATGCCGAGGCGTTCCAGCGTGTCGACTAGCACCACCGTCTCGGCCACGCTGCTGATGCGGCTCGTGGCCTTCAACAGCTTGCGGCGCACTTGCCCCTTTAGAGCTTCCGCTCGTTCTCTCCTGCACTCCTCTGACCTCTGCACCACACGCACATGATCGAGAGTACACAGATAATTAATTTAAGCCCCTGCCCTGTACAATTAAGCAAAGCACACACACGTAAATAAATACGGTATGCATGTGTGTGTATGGTTCTATTTCACTATTTGTGTCTAAGGCTGCCCATTTCTGATAAGCAGCTGGTCGATCTGTGTAATAGTTAGCTTACGAGGAACCGTAAAAATGGTTTTCCAGGTAAACCCTGGTTTTGGTTTGTACCTTATTTTCTGGATTCTATAAAGTAGGACGAGAATATTTAAGAGAGTTGAAGATTATGATACAAACTGCAGATGCTAGAAGCTCCTTAAATAAGACCTAAGTATATATATATATGCACAGTACTGTTTAATCTGCATGCCTGTGAGTTGGAAGGGGCGTAGGTGATGAAGAAGTCGCCCCACACGGACGGCGCAAAACCTTGCAACAATGGGCCTGTGGTGACGACGGCAGCGGCAGCCAACGGCGAGGAGCCTCCATTAACAGCAAGCACCTCCGTCGCGAGAACACTGCTCCCAGACATGTTATCGTTGGTTGATCGAGCTCGTTCGCGACCGCTAGTTTACAGAAGTTGTCAATTAGAGTAGCTTGCTACTAATTGGATATGGTCAGTACCTCTCCCATCTTCTCTATTTATAGACGAGCACCCCTCTAGGACCCGTGTAGCTATGGCCTACGGGTCACCTAGCATACGATCGAACCTCATACATGCATGCATGTGGCGGATTTAATTTTTCTTTGAGTTTTTTTACGGTCCAGCTGTACCGTGCGGTACCAAATGCTAGCCGTTGGATCTGGTCAGATCCAACAGCTGGTATTGCGTGGTACCACGAGGTATCAAAATTGTCCCTGAGACAGCACCGCAGAGAGAAGAGAGTTAGAAGGGTAAAAGAGTAACTTTGCGTGCGATGGATGGTTCTGGAGGGATGGATCGGGAAGAGTTGATGGTTAGCTAGCTCGAACCCTAGAATTTTGGTTGCACCAGCGCTGGTTGCTTTTCGCCGCCGCTGTGTTCGTTTTCCTCTACCGCCGCCGCCGCCGCTGCCGTGTTCCTCTTCCTCTGCCGCTGCCGTCGTGTTCCTCTTCCGCTGCTGCCGCCGTCGCCGTTTTCCTCTGCCACCGCCGCCATGTCCCACTTACGCCGCTACCGTTTTCCTCTGCCGCCGTTGCCATGTTCTTCCTCTAGCGCCGAGACTTCGATCTAAACGGCGGAGGCGGAGTCCATGCCGGACAGGGCGCACGCGTCGGGGGATGAAGGATTGGGGGCGCACCACGCACGCGCGGCTGTGGAACGATACCGAGCACATTTTTCTCTCCCGATCCTACCCATGCCGGAATGAACGGCTCGATGCGTACCGGTACCGAGCGGTACTATGTGCTGGACTATAAAGACGCTCCTTTTCTTTTCATTAAAAAAATTAATTAGTTGGCTATTTTTGTTTGGGTTTAGATCATTATATTGGCATAGAGTTTTAAGTTGATTTTTTGATTTTTATGGTTTAATAGAAAAGATACCCGTGCATTGCAACGGGTGAATTAATGCTATTTCAATCTTATTATTGCTATACGGTTTAGCTATTGTGAAATTCATTATGGGAATTCGCTTGGATATTTTTTTTAATAATCATGAGCTGCAATTATGAGTCCGATTTTCAACTCAAATTAGTTATGCAAGTTTTTTTAAAAAAGATTTCTTATACAACTCCTTTCGTATTTCCAAAAGCAAATGAATTTAAAATCTGATTCAAACACGGATATGTATTTCCAAAAGCGAACAAACTTAAAACCGCAAACAAGAATGACGTACTAAAATACTAGTAAAAACATATTTTATTTTTATAATAGTAGAGATAAGCGGGTGTCCTCAAGTTTAAACATAAAGTCTCAACTCTAATCCACAAAAGCTTTAAAAAATTACTTAAACCTAGTCTTTAACTTGATAGCACAAGAGTAGTTTATGATTTAAAAAATAAAAGGCAAATAAAAAATTGTTAAATATGTGATCCGAATTTTAGGCCCACGATATATTCGGATTGAGATCACCTATACATTTGTCAACAAATTTTCTTCTAAAAATTTGACAGATGTAATTATAGTACAATCGTAGTTTAATTACATTGTAACCTACATGTAAATACTGTGTAACTTGTATGTAAGTTTCACATAATTTTGAATCGTTAGATCTATTACAAGATTTGTTCTGGTGAGGAAGATAAAAAATCACAGCACACACATATATATGTGAGAGGATTTGTTCCCATGACCTTCATTTTACCGAAATAACATGTTACAGGTAGATTTTTGAAATTTATATATAAGTTACAGTGTAATTACACTACTATTGTACTGTAATTACATCTGTCAAATTTTTGGGAGAAAATTTGTTGATAAATATATAGCAAAATTGATTCAGATTAGTTTTCTAATACGACTTTGTATTATAGGATTAGTTTCTTATTAGGACTTCGAGTTTTTTCTATCAGGACTTCTACTGTAGTTTTCTCCTATATATATCCCTGTACACCGCATACAGGAGGGTGCGACAACCCAAAGTGTCTCCTGCATTTCTATCCAACTTCTTTATATTGATCATTGCCGGTCAGCGTCCGTAATTTTTTTCCGTAAGGATTTTTCATGTTAAATACGTGTCTATATTGTACATCAATTTTACTATATAACAAGTCATATCAAAAACATTGGAGATGCGATCTGTTCACGCAGCCGTCGGCCGATCTGTTCATCGTCCTCGACAATTCAATTTCGACCTGTTCGGTGAGATCATTTGCTGTCCGGCTGCCATCGCGTTCGTCGCGCGAAGTTGCATCACGTCGTTCTCATCTCTGCAGCAGCTAGCGCATGCGTCAGGGAGAGGAAAAGCTGCACACGGGTCTCGATGTGAAAAAAAAGCAGGGCATCATCAGGGTTGAAGCCATCGATGATCATCTTAGTGCACGCATATCGAGAAAAAGTAGGGGGCAAGTGAGGGACCTGACTCCCTGTTCACGTGAATTAAAATTCACGTTGGTTTTTCGCTGCGTGCATACGTCCTTCATACAGGGATCAATTCATCTGCATTACTTCGGTTCTGTTCAGGGGAATAAATTCAAGTTCAGTTTTTGCTACGCTCACACGCCAGTTTACCAGGAGGTTTTCTATGGAGATTAAATAATTCGTTTTATACACCCAGAGTGTTTCGCGTTTCTGCTAAGGTTCCACAAATTATACCAACGGATTCAGGATTTTATTCCCAAGGCGAGTTTGAGGTTTGATCTATCGCTCGTGAATTGAGATGCAATATTCTAATTATGGCAAGTGATGTTTTAAAGTGGGGTATTTACCGCGAGGAGGAGAAACTAATACCATCGTACACCAGTCTATCAGTTTCAGGACATACAAGCGAAGTCGTCGAGAGGGAACCAGAAGGTTCATGTCCAGATCACGTGTGTGTGGTAAAATTTCCGGCGGAATTGCTACTTCCGTTTGCCCAGTGTACCAGAAGGTTAATAAGGAGATCTAAGTATTTCATTTTGAGCGCAAGAGTTTCGCATT